AGGACGAGTAGCAGCAGCAGGAGCTAAAGCGGAAGGGGCGAGCAGGAGCAGGAGGAGGGGCATGAGAGGGAAGAGGCGGCGGATGGTATGGAACGGCGTGGAGGGAGGGAGGGGGGGAGGGGGAGCATCGGGAGGGGGAGAGGTGTTGGAGGGAGGAATGGAGGAGAGATGCAGGAGGCAGGGGATGGAGGGAGAACTGGGAAAGGGGGGAGTGGGCAGGTCTTTCTCGGTGCCTCGACCGCGGGCCCCTCCCCTCGGTCCTGGTTCCGGCACGCCGTGGCTGCCTCTGGGGCCTCCCAGTCTGCGGGGGGGGCCGGAGGATCACCAGGTCGCGGAGGTCCTGCTGGAGTTCGCCACCGATCCAGAGGCGCCTCGCCTCTGCGCTCGGGAGAGAGAGGAGAGAGAGAGAGAGAGAGAGAGAGAGAGACCGACTGCCCTTTCCCCCAACCGAGAAAGCGAGATTGAGAGAGGTAGAGGGGCAGAAAGAGAGAGATATAGAGAGTGAGGGAGAAAGAGAGGGAGAGGGAGAGGGAGAGACCACAGAAAGGAGAGAGAGGTGAGTTGGCAAAACGGGAACAACGATTGTGTGCAGTGCGATGCCACTGGAACTGATCAGTGGCACCGCGAGGCAGGCCGCCGAGTTGCCCTGTGCTGCCTCGCAGCAGCGACGACGACAACGATGACGAGGGCGAGGGGGGGAGAGGGGGGGGAGTCGAAGGGAGGCGGAGGGGGACGAGAAAAGGGAGGGGAGGGAGAAAGTCGAACCCTCCTCCGGCATCGCCCATCTCAAGCTGCGCCTTTCCCCCAGCTGCAGCCTCGCGAACATCTGGTGCCGAGGGGGCTCTGACAACAGGACCAGGGCAGAAGGCGCAGCTGAGTTAGCCAGGTCGATCGAGACAGCGGGCCTCGCCCTCTCCCAGCCCTCCCTCCCGTGAGAGCAGAGCCGGTGCTGGCGCAGCCGGACGTCTGATCCGGCGCTTGTTCCCGCCCCAGCGAACGGGAGGCGCCCACGCGCGGCGGGGCGGGGGAAGCACGAGCCGCGAACGGGCGGGAGCGGAACTTCGAGAAGACTCTTGAGCCCACTGCGGCGATAACGCCGTTCGTCCCTCTCTCGCACGGCCGGGCTCCCGATGAGAGTGGCGATAACAAGGTGTGCTGCGCGCTGGAGCAGGCGGCCCTGTAAGGAAGCTGGGGGGAACCTCAGGAGGCAGTGAAGAAGGCTTCTTTAGAAGCCGGGGGAACTTTTCGGCAGGCCCCTGGCTTCTAAGAACCCCCTCGGCTTTAGAAGGCCAACACCCTCGAGCCAATCCCTCACGCGTGCCGCCAATACAAGGGGGGAGGAAAAAAGTAAGGATTGGGAGAAACTTCTACTCGTCCAGCATCACCCGTCTCATGCTGCACCCTCCTCCCCCAAGCTCCAGCATCTACAAACCCATCCCCGAGGAGCTCTGGGAATGGGATTGTATAGCTATACAGCAGAGCAAAAAGGAAGAGGAGGAGGAGGAGGAGGAAGAGGAGGAGGAGGAGGAGGAGGAGGAGGAGAGGCGAAAGGACGAGATGGGCTGAGATGTCACATCACGGGACGGGACGGGGGGGGAAAGCGGAGGGGACGGATCGGGAGCGGCGCGGCGTGGAGGGCGGACGCGGTGGAGTTGCATGCGGCGGCGGCGGCAGCGGCCACCGGTGCCTCGGCGTGTGTTTGCTCTTCCGGCTCTGGCGCAGCACGGCAGGCGCACGTCGTGGCGGCGCGGCGTGCAACCCCAGATCGTCCCAGAGCAGTTCATGCGAGCTTTCTTCGAGCAGTTGAGTCGAGCCTCCCAGGAGCAGTTCATTCGAGCTTCTTGGAGCATTCGATCTTCCCTCCCAGGAGCAGTTAAATCGAACCCCCAAAACCGTTCAATCGAGCCCCCTTGGAGCAGTGAAACCGAGCGTCCCGGGAGCAGTTAGATCGAGCCCTCACGGCAATTGCATCAAGCTTCCTCGTAGCAGTCGAATCAAAGCCCGGAGCAGTTCACTCGTGCCCCCCAAGCGGGCCAGCGCGATGACATCGAGTCCGCGTGGAGCAGTTAAACAAAGCAGACCCGTTACATCGAACCCCCGGAGCGGCCAAGAGCAGCTACATCGAGCTTCCTTAGAGCAGTTAAGATCGAGACCCCCCCGGAGCAGTTCAATCGAGATTCCCCGTGGCAGTCAAATCGAACCCCCGTCATTAAACATTCCCACCACCGTCGTCAGCGTGTATCGTCGGCAACCCGTGAGCGCATCACCGGCATCGTCACAATCACAGTCATCGCAGGTGTCATCAGCTGGTTCTTCCCCCCCAAACCTCCGCGTCACCCGAAGGGTGGTTCGAGCCCCATGACTGGGCGCTTCTTGAGACTTCCTGGACGTCTGCTCAACAGCCCTGCCCTGACTTTGACGAGCCCCATCCTCTGTCAGGTGCGGCTCTGCCCCAAATAACGGCTTGCCGTCTGCACGGGGTGCCCCGCGTGGGGTGTGACTCTTCTGCCCTCCTTTGGCTCCTCGCCGCTGACCGCCTTTGTGCTGCAGGGCGCCCGGGCGATCTCCCAGAGAGCGCACGATCGCGAGAAAGCGCCTGTTTGGGCGAGGTCTCCTAGATGAGGTCAGAGTAGTATGGGGTCGGAGGATCGTGCCCCATCGCCGATGCATCGGCGATGCGGGTCGATGTGGGGCAATTTTCTCCGCGCCGACGTCGCCGATGTATCGCCGATGCATCGTTGATGCATCGAAGGCGGGGGAGGTGAAGGTAGAGGAGGATGAGACGGAGGAGATGGAGGCGGAGGTGCATGAGGATGGGGGGAGGAGGTGGAGGCGCGCAGGAGGTGGAGGTGGAGGAGGAGGAGGAGGAGGAGGAGGAGGAGGAGGAGGAGGAGGAGGAGGGGAGGAGGAGGAGGAGAGGAGGAGGAGGAGAGGAGGAGGCGGAGGAGGAGGAGAAGGGAGGAGGTTGAGGATCAGACGGATGAGGGGGATGGAAGCGCAGAGAGCGGATGGGCCTGCCTGCAGAGACAGACAAGCAGGGCCCGTAGGGAGGAGGCGAGACGCTCTTCAGGGCGAGTGCGCCGCGCGCGCGCCTGGTGCGCGCCCACGCCGGCAGCGGCTGCCTCAGCAGACAGCACGCACAGAGATGCTAGAGGAGGTGGTGCCGCGACCGAGGAGGAGGCGGGATTCCTCCTCCTCATCCTCCTCATCCGCCTCCCTCCCCCTCCTCCTCCTCCTCCTCCTCCTCCTCCTCCTCCTCCTCCTCCTCCTCCTCCTCCTCCTCCTCCTCCTCCTCCTCCTCCTCCTCTTGCGAAGTTGGCGAACCGCCCACAAGGGCATCGTGGAGTGAGAAGACGTCATGTTCACCAGACCGCTCATTGCCACTTGGCCTTGCCAATCTCATCAGGGATGCTCACTTTATGGCGGATCTCATGCGTATGTGGAAACTCTGCATCCACACAATTTGTCCAATAGTTTCCCTCCCAGCACGTAGGAGAAACGGCTTCATCGATCCAGAACATGGTGTCCAGGCGCGAACAGTGGTGGCCTCAATCTGATGTGCTGATTCTGAACGCTGACTGGGATGAGCTCAGGGTGCGCCTAGCTCGTGTACCTGCCTCGTGGTCTTGGCCTATTCTGAGGAGCTGGGGCAATGCCTGGATCACATCGTGGCGGATTCTTGGTGATAGAGGCGGACGCAACTGCAGTTTCTGATGTATGCATGAGAAAGATCGATTGAAGCATTATCTTGCTTGTCCTGTACTCTGGCGTGCCCTGCGGCGTGCCCTTCACATTCCAGTGGCAGACTTCCCTGTCCATCGGCTTGACAGACTGGGGCTGAGCCCTCCAGATCACGTTCGGGTCTTCGAATTCCTCGTCATGTACACGATGTACCACGCCCTCAGGCACTTCGACGTCGACTGCATTGGCTTCGACGAGCTCATTGAGCACATCAAGGCTTCGGAGAGAAGCCTGCGCCTCACGCGCCGCGGGCCCGCGACCGCCGCCGCCCCCACCGCAGCCTAAGCGAACAGCTCCGACCTGCTGCACCAATGCACGGCGCCCTCCTCCTCCTCCTCCTCTTCTTGCTCCTCTTCTCGCTCCTCCTCCTCCTCCTCATCCTCCTCCCCCCTCCTCCTCCTTCTCCTCCTCCTCCTCCTCCTCCTCCTCCTCCTCCTCCTCCTCCTCCTCCTCCTCCTCTTAGAGATGCGCAGACCCCGACGTCGTGATCTGTCCAATCACTCCAAACGGTGTGGTTTTCGCTAGGGTGTGGTCTGCGATCTGCTCCATTGGGGCTTGGAGGGCACCGCGCTGCTCTCATCGGGCCTCCTCGGGGCGCTGCGGGGAACTCTGTCGAGGTCATCACCCGCCCCCCAGGGTCTGGGTGGCAGACCATACCATATGCAAACCACTTTCTTCGGAGTCGTCGATTTGTGTCGCAACATGGACACCCGAAGGTCTGGACCACCTTCCTTGGGCCGGCTTTCCACTCCGAGCCCTTTTCTGCCAGACCTGGGGCCTGGTGATGATATCTCCACAGCCCGAGACCAGCACGGCCACCCCCGCGTCGTGCTTTTGTTCGGAATGCTGGATGCCTGGGGAGAACGACGAGATGGATGGGGAGGACACAGGAGGAGGAGGAGGAGGAGGAGGAGGAGGAGGAGGAGGAGGAGGAGCAGGAGCAGGAGCAGGAGCAGGAGGAGGAGGAGGAGGAGGAGGAGGAGGATTAACACTGAGAGTGGGACACCTCGTTGGATAGCGCCCTCGGGGTAGGCAAGAGGCAACAAGGGGGATGAGGAGGAAGGGGAGGAGGAGGAGGAGAGGGAGGAGGATGGGCACGGAAGTGGTGGACAAGGAGGAGGAGGAGGAAGAGAGAGGAGGGGAATAATGAAGAGGCGGAGGAGGACGTGTAGGAGGCGGAGGAGGGGGAAAAGGAGGAGGGAGGAACAGCAGGGAGCAGAGTGAAGGCCGTCCAGCTCGCCGTGGACGGCACGGGCCAGATGGCCCTGCACTGCGCGGCCTCGCGCGGCCACGAGGCGACCGTGCGTGCGGGCCTCAGAGAGCGGGGGAGGGGCGGGAGGCGCCTGGCCTGGCTCAGCGCGCCTGCTCCTCCATTCGAAGAATCGATTAGACGTACGATGGACCCTTCGCCGTAGTGACCTTGAGTGCGGACCCATTGGGGCCCTTCGATCACCAAACGCGATGCGATGGTACCGTCTTGCGCGCTTGTGTTTGGTTCCCCCATGGCCCCGCAAAAGCCGCGCACCAAAGGTCACTCCAACCCAGGGTCACTCTTGCGTGTAGCCGAAGGAAACGATAAGATGGCGCCGTCCATTTTGTTGGCGTCAAAAGGGCTCTGTATTCGAGCGGCGGTCATGTCCAACACGGGGTCGCATCAGCCCCGTTGGGTTTCGGGGCCAACAAGGGCTCCCGAGGGCTCCCCCCGAAGGCTGTCGAGATGGAGCACACGACATGCCCGCCAACACGGGCGCGTGACTGCCGCAAGTTGGCAACGCTACAACATGGACGTGGCCACATGGATTATAGCTTGTGGGTTTGCGGCGAGTTCCGTTTCCATGCGAATTCGACGCGCTCCATCGCCGAATCAGGCGGAAGTGGCGCCATGTTTGGGGGGGGGTGTTTCCCCCGAGTCGTGGGTGTGTCGAGCACGCGCCAGATCCACGGATCCGTGATCCGTGTCAGCGTGCGTTCAGTCCCTGCTCTCGACATCAGGGTAACGTGTCCTGGAGGAGCTGTCTCCTGGAGACTTGTCGCCGTTCTCGGAGCCCCAGGGCCCTCACCCGACCCCGGGGCCCGCACATAGGTAGACCGTATCGGCACAGAGGGCATCGCTCCAACACTAAAGCAGACTGTATGAGCACGAACGCAGATCGTATAGGAGCACTGACCAGAAAGGCCGCTCCCGTGCGTCATGTGTGCTCCCGTGTGCCCGGTATGTGTGGTCCCGGGTATCTTGTGTGCTCCCGTGTGTCTTGCGTGTGCTCGCGTGGGGGTAGAGAGCTGGTCTCCGTGGGAACGCCCCAGGGTTTTCATCCCCGTTGCTTTCATAGCGATGCTTTTTCCCCGAGGTCCATCGGCTCGAACAGAGTGAGGCGGCCGGCCTGTATGTGTTCCGTCGTTTGGAGGCCTCGGGGGCCAGTTCCGGGCCCCAGGACTCTCCAGAAGCGAGTCGGGACGAGACGCTGGCCCCAGGGAGAGGGCTTCTGGAGGCCCCAGGGGGCCACGTCTCGAACAAAGTCAGACGTCGGATGCCTGGGTCCATTCTTTTCCCTTCGTATTGCGGCTCCTCACTTGTTTCCTGCACGTCCTTGTCCCGCTGCTCCTTGCGCCCCTCTCTCCATGCCATCCTGCTCTCTGTTTGTCCTCACTGTTCCTTCTCCTTGCCCCTCTTCTCTTTCTCTTCATCCTGGTTATCCTCCTCCTTTTCCATGTTCCTCCTCCTCCTCCGCCTCCTCTCCTTCTCTTGCTCCTCCTTCTCCTCCTCCTCCTCCTCCTCTTCCTCCTCATCCTCCTTTTCGTGCTCCTCCTCTTCCTCCTCCTCCTCCTCCTCCTCCCCCTCCTTCTTCTCCTTTGTTTCTCCTCCCCCTATCCTTATTCCTTATTCGAATATACTCCTACTCCCCCCTCAGGCCGGCAGATAGGGGCCCCATCCGGGTGGTCCCATCCTAACCTGTAAAAAACAATACAAAATCAACATGTTTCTTATTTTTTCCTCTCGACATGGACGTCCTGTCGTCCACGGCGATAATCCATTGCAAAAAATACCACAAAGAGCACACGCGCGCGTTCATGTCAGAATCCTACCGAACACCGTGTGTTTGCAAGCATTTCAACATAACAACATCAAAAACCCAATGCTTTTTTACAAAAATCTACACATTTCCTGCCCGGGCTCTCTTGTTGAAATCATAGGAAAACCATAGGAATCTTAAGAATTCGGTCAAATCCAGCGATTTCACGTCATCGCGCGGTGCACTCGCGATGCTCTGTCATGCACCCAGGCCGCGAATCTTGTGCAAAAAATACCACGCGGGCGACATGCGCGCGCGTCGCCGCGAGCGCATGCTCAAATCCTTCTAGAGTCGTCGCCGTCATTGGCACCGTCGCATGGACGTCCTGTCGTCCACGTCGCAAAATGCATGGCAGGAATGGGACCCGGCTTACCGGGCCGTTCTCGACACGGCCACCTCTGGCTTCCTGCGGTGTACCGGGCCATTCTCGACTCGTCTGGCAATGCGTGCGCGGCATTCAACACGCGCTCGCCAGTTCCCGTCGGCAACCGCCATCGCGGCCGCATCAGCTGTACCAAACCGGCTGGCCGGTGTGACTTCGGCCCCCAGTTGTGCCAGCTTTGCTTCTTATGTTGTGGGAGGGCGGGTGGGACTGGGCATGCCATGCTTGACTCGCTCGAGCTGGCTAGCTTGACTCCTACTCCTACTCTACTCCTACTCCTACTCCTACTCCTACTCCTACTCCTACTCCTACTCCTATCCTTATTCCTTATTAGAATATACTCCTACTCCCCCCTCAGGCCGGCCATTAGGGGCCGCATCCGGGTGGTCCCATCCTAACCTGTAAAAAACAATACAAAATCAACATTTTCTTATTTTTTCCTCTCGACATGGACGTCCTGTCGTCCACGGCGATAATCCATTGCAAAAAATACCACAAAGAGCACACGCGCGCGTTCATGTCAGAATCCTACCGAACACCGTGTGTTTGCAAGCATTTCAACATAAAAACATCAAAAACCCAATGCTTTTTCACAAAAATTGTACAAATTTCCCGCCCGGGCTCTCTTGCTGAAATCATAGGAAAACCATAGGAATCTTAAGAATTCTGTCAAATCCAGCGATTTCACGTCATCGCGCGGTGCACTCGCGATGCTCTGTCATGCACCCAGGCCGCGAATCCTGTGCAAAAAATACCACAAAGAGCACACTCGCGCGTTCATGTCAGAATCCTACCGAACACCGTGTGTTTGCAAGCATTTCAACATAAAAACATCAAAAACCCAATGCTTTTTCACAAAAATGCTTTGGGGTGTCCTGTCAGACCGTCGGGCTTCCTCCGGCCACCTCTGGCTTCCTGCGGTGTACCGGGCCATTCTCGACTCGTCTGGCAATGCGTGCGCGGCATTCAACACGCGCTCGCCAGTTCCCGTCGGCAACCGCCATCGCGGCCGCATCAGCTGTACCAAACCGGCTGGCCGGTGTGACTTCGGCCCCCAGTTGTGCCAGCTTTGCTTCTTATGTTGTGGGAGGGCGGGCGGGACTGGGCATGCCATGCTTGACTCGCTCGAGCTGGCTAGCTTGACTCCTACTCCTACTCCTACTCCTACTCCTACTCCTATTTCTACTACTCCTACTCCTCCCAGCTGCCCCTCTCTCCCTCTGTCCCTCGCAAGCGCCATAATGCTAAGAGCATTTCCAGAAGAGCTTGATGCCCTGATCCATTATCCTCGTCCTCTCCTCCTCCGCCTCCTCCTCCTCCTCCGGCTCCTCCTTCTACTGCTCGATGCCCTGATCCGTTCTCCTCTTCCTCCTCCTCCTCCTCCTGCTCCTGTTACTCCTCCCCCCCCAAGGCTCTGAAGGGGCCATGCGGCTCATTCGCCCCCGCTCCATTTCTCTGGCCCTTCCCCCCTCCCCCCCCTTCCTCCTATGCCCCCGTCCTCCCCTGCGCACTCCCATGCCCCCCCCACCGCGGTGGCGGACGCGGCGAGCAGCGCTCTGCAAGCGTCACCCCGGTACCGCGCGCCCGAGGCGGCGCGCAGGGCGCGCCTCCCGTGCGCGAGGCCTCCGCCCCCCCCCCCCCCCCCCTGGACGAGGTGGCCTGTCCGCAGCCCGTCGCTTTGCTCCAGCCTGCCTCAGCCCCCCTCCACCCCGCCCTCGCTGGAGGGTTTCTCCGAAGGGCTTAGACGACCCGTTCTCCGCCTCCTCCTCCTCCTCCTCCTCCTCCTCCTCCTCGTCCTCCTCTCCTCTCCTCCTCCTCCTCCTCCTCCTCCTCCTCCTCCTCCTCCTCCTCCTCCTTCTCCTCCTCCTCCTCCTCCTCCTCCTCCTCCTCCTCCTCCTCCTCCTCCTCCTCCTCCTCCTCCTCCTCTTCCTCCTGGCATGGCTGGCGGCGCATTGAGGTTCCCACAGCTAGCGTGGAGTCGAAACTGTGTACTACTTTGGGGGCGGACGGGGGCTCCCGCAGCTTGCGGGCAGTCGGATTTGTGTACGATTATGTTTTGGTGCTTCTCGGCGAACACGCGTGCGTCTTCTGGGCGAACAGTCGGAGGTCCTCAACTACCAAACAGTGCTGCGCCTCCGAAGGCCTCCTGAGGCCTTCGGAGAAAATAAATCGCACCCCATTCGCAAGCCTCAGCTATCTCACGTGACGGGATTGCTCGTGTGTACTCAGCTGTGGCGAAGGAGCTGACTTATTCATCATCCTTCGGCAACTGTTATCCCACTTGGTGGGCTTGCCCGCGTCTGTGCGAGCAGGCCCCCCCTGTCAACCGTAGGTTTGGCATTGACCGTGGCAACCTGAACGGTCGCTGTCCAACTGGCTTCGCCCTTAACTTCCTGTCGGGTGAGTTGTGAGGGAAGCGCTCACATACGGCCCTGGACGTTTCCCATGAGAGTACTTTTTACACCGCACACATAATGCTCAGGCGAGGGGTTTCCCCCCCGATTCTGCGACACCCCCCTCGCAGCATGCCGCAGCTTTTTGGGGGGGCCCAAAAAGGCTGGCAGAAAAGAATAGCATGGGAAACTTTGAGCCCCCATGGCGCACCAGTACAGCCCAACTGGCTGTCCTGCCGAAGTATGGTTGAAACCAAGTCAGGGCGCACTGGCTTCTGCCATACTCGCGACTGTAAGGATGAGACCTACAAGAGTCCTTGAAAATATCCCTCCTGCAGGGGCAAGCTGCTTTAGGCAGTGGGTTGCAGAACGAAGCACTTCTGAAGGTCGCCTTATCCTTAAAGATGGGTTCAGGTGCCCTGAAAGCCTACAGTGTACTCGGCAGTCCTCCTCCTACTCCTCCTCCTCCTCCCCCTCCTCCTCCTCCTCCCTCCTCCTCCTCCCTCCTCCTCCTACTCCTCCTCCTCCTCCTCCTCCTCCTCCTCTCTCCTCTCCTTCCTCCTCCTCTCTCCTCCTCTCTCCTCCTCCCTCCTCTCCTCCTCCTCCTCTCCTCCCTCCTCCCCCTCCCCTCCTCCTCCCCCCTCCCCTCTTCCACCTCCTCCTCCTCCTCCTCCTCCTCCTCCTCCTCCTCCTCCTCCTCCTCCTCCTCCTCTTCCTCGGGTCGCATACGGCCCCGGGGGAAACCGTGCACCTCCTGCCCTCGGAGGGTTCCCGCGAGGTCGCGTGTGGGGTTGGCTGGTGCACCGTGTAAGTGGTCGGGTTCTTACGTTTCTTGCCCCATTGTCGGGGGGTTGTTTTTGGTGTGTCTTGTGATGACGACCCAGCCTCCCGCGAGTGCGCCTGCGTCAAATGCAGCCTCTGATGAGGTCTGCGGTCTGCGGAGGGCTCCCAGCTTGCAGTCGGGCCGCTGAAGAAGGAACCCTTTTCGTTGGGGAGGGGCTCAGTGTTCGTTCATTGTTTTACAGTTTGTCTTAGGTTGTCCTTAGGTTCCAATGGGGAAATTGAAGTTTACCTTAATGAAAAGGAACCTCGTTCCTTATGCAGGGCCCTTTCTGACAGCGCTTCGACTGTAGCTCGCCCACCATGTCTTTCATTTCGAGGCGCTGCCGCTCAGCCTCGTGCCCTCGTGTGCTGCCCCGATTCGCCATCGAGGGCCTATCGCAGATCTGATAGCGATGCATCGCCGATTCCAAGTCAATGTGTCACCCCCCCCTGAGCTGGTCCCCCTATGTCGTTCCCCCTCAATCTCCTAGGTGACCCTCAGGAGCGGGAAGATGACGACGATTCGCGCATCTCGGTGCGGGCCAGAGTGACTGCCGTTCCACTAGGGGAGCGTCGCCAGGGCGCGAGAGCGCGAAGATACACACGCGTTGCGTATCGCGGGGCGTGATGCGCGAAGGCAGGTGACCCAGAATCCTCCTCCTCTTTTTGCCGGCACAGACTCTCCAGATGACGCCAAAATTGAAGAGCCGACGGCTACGCGCCGCATTGGGCTTGTTCGACAGGGCCCGCAGCTATCTCGTTGGGTTGTAAGCGAGTGCCCCACAAGTTGTACATCGGGAGCAATTGAACGAAAATTAGAACCTGGAAGAGAGACGAACATGGAGAGGAGGAGGAGGAACGAATAGCCAGAAGAGAACATCGGGACAGTGTCGCTCGAAGATTCTAGGCCTTGTTCCAATCCTCGCAATCCTCTGCGATATTTTGCATGGCAGCGAGCCCCATCTGGCAGACAGCCACCTGAGCTCCCCTCTGCGTGCTGGGGACGCGTCAGCCGAGAAGGTAGCGGTAGCGTGGCGTAGCGTCTAGCTGGGTTACTCTGTTGGCATCAACGGGTACGACCCACAGCCAGCAAGCGGTCCGATGAAGTCTCGACCAGCACGAGGTGACGCGGAGTCTGGTCGGGAATTGCTTGCGGCGCGCCTTGCGTGCCCCATCGCCGTCGGCAAACGGCCTCTTGCCCCTTCCCCTCCTCCGCCTCTTCGTCTTCCTCATTATCCTCCCCCTCGTGTTTACTTGCCCTCGCCACTGCCATTGCCATTGGTTTTGCTCTCGCTTCCTTTACTCCCAGCGTGTTGCTGACAGATTTGATTCTCAATGTGCTGTGCAGTGTTTCGAAGGCAGGTATAGGGCCTTCAGCAGGAGGTCAGCGGCCCTGAGGTCTCACTTCGTGTAGGTGTTCAACATCGAAGAGCTTCCGTCGTGGTGGGGTGTCTTCTCTTCGCATTGAAGTGTTGTCCCCGTTGCAAGGGTCTCGGGGGGAGTGTAAGCCGCAGGCTTGCGGTTCCCTCCCTCCCTTCGTTTGACAAGCTCGTCTGAGCACAGGAGTGTCTCTCCGCCGACGCCCCAGCGGCCCGGCTATGCTGCTTCGCCGCTTCGGGCAGGCAGACCTTCATTTACTAACGGGTGGTCCTGCATCGATAAGGTTCGCGCGGGGTCCAGTTGCATGTCTCAGCTGGGATGTTCACCCGTTAGCGCCCCCACCTTACATTACCTCATGTTTTCTTTTGGCAAGCGCAGGGTGCGCACACCCGTAGCGCCATTCTCTTCATGCGCCTCTTTCCGGCGGGTGGCGCCACCCCCAAACAAAAACCGAGGCGCGCTCGTCGCGCACACGTCGCAGAAGGGCACGCTGATTATGTCCGTGGACAGGCGGCGACCTCGGGGGGGATGGCGCCCCTCACCAACCCGGCGGCCGAGCGTCGCCGTTGTCGCCACCGTCCCCAGCTGAAGGAACAAACAGTTGCATAAACAGGAGCACTCGGAGGCCCGCGCGAGTGACTTTAGTCGGCGCTGGGCCCCCCTGGCGGCGCCTCCGGCGTCGCCCTTGGCGCATTCCGCGCGCCAGGGAGGGGGGTCCGGCGCCGATCCAAGAAATCCGCGCGGGGCTCCGGAAGTCGATGTTCACGCAACTGTTCCCAACCATCCTGTGGTATTGGGTCTTCGTTTTGAAGAGACAGCGCCCCGCGTTCTCTTCCTCCTCCGTCCTTCTCCTTTTCCTCCTCTTCCTCCTCCTCATCCTGTTCCTCCTCCTCCTCCTCCTCCTCCTCCTCCTCCTCCTCCTCCTCCTCCTCACTCTCCTCCTCCTCCTCCTCCTCCTCCTCCTCCTCCTCCTCCCCCCTCCTCCCTCCTTCCACGATCCGCATTCTCATCCTCATCCTCATAACCATCATCATCATCATCATCATCATCATCATCATCATCATCATCATCATCATCCTCATCATCATCATCATCATCATCGTCATCATCATCATCATCACCATCACCATCACCATCACCATCACCATCATCATCATCATCATCATCATCATCATCATCATCATCATCATCATCATCATCATCATCATCATCATGGTCGTCGTCGTCATCATCATCATCATCATCATCATCGTCATCAGCATCAGCATCGACATTGTCATCATCATCATCATCATCATCATCATCAACATCATCAACATCAACATCATCATCACCCTCGCAATCATCATCGCCATTCTCGTCATCATCGTCATCATCGTCATCTTCACCACCATCGTAATCATTATCACTGTTAACGTCCCGATCATCGCCACTCGTGTCGGCGCACTCCTCACATGCTTCATGGGCCCACAGTGTGCTTCACCGAAGGCCCCAGTCGCGGTGTTCGCATGCCGTCTCCCCCACCCAATACAGCGCCCCGTGGCCCCAAAGGGGCTCCACCGAAGGCCCAGTGGCGGCGTCCGCATGTGTCTCCCCCACTCAGTACAGCGCTTCGTGGCCCCATGGGGAGCTCCACCGAAGGCCCAGTGGCGGCGTCCGCATGCGTCTCCCCTACTCAGTACATTGCTTCGTGGCCCCATCGGGAGCTCCACCGAAGGCCCCACTGGCGGTGTTCGCATGCGTCTCCCCCACCCAGCACAGCGCTTCGTGGCCCCATCGGGAGCTCCACCGAAGGCCCCAGTGGCGGTATTCGCATGCGTTTCCCCCACTCAGTACAGCGCTTCGTGGCCCCATCGGGAGCTCCACCGAAGGCCCCAGTGGCTGCCCCGCCCCATTGCGGCGCACCCGTCGCACGTCTCGCAGCCCCATAGTGGGTTCCACAAAAAACCCCAGTGGCAACGCCCACATGGCGGCCCCGCCCCATATTGGCACACCCCCGCCTGTTTCATGGCACCATGAGGAGATCCCCCGAAGGCGATACCCGCAACGATCGTTCTCACAACTGTATATTGTTGGGTCCTTCGCCTGGCTAATTTTTGTCCCTCGATTTGTCGCCTTCGTCCCCAGCGCTCGGGCGGGCTGGGGGGGTGCAAGGGCGCAGGTGCTCCGATCCATGATCCTTTTCCAATGGCGCAAAGGGCTCAGCGCCGCTGTGCGCAAAACGCCACGCGCTGCTCTCGCATCGATCGCCATGGTGCTCCGATCCGAGCTGCGGCATCCCGCCGCAGCATCGCCAGCACAAACAGCTGCCTCGGTATTCACGTAGCGGAGGCAAGCGCTGACGGGTGTCAGCCAGTCCCCTCTGGCTGACCCGCGATCGGGGGCCAATGGGGGCCGATTCCCGCTTTCCGCCGCTGACCCAGGTGTGGGGGGGCTGCTAAGCGGCCGGCCAGACTTCGCGGCAGGGCCCTGTCCGACCCAGGTCTGTGCTGGCCCAGGCTGGTGCGTCCCCGCCTGTTGCCGCCGTCTCCAACGCTCGGGCGGGGCTGGCACCGGGATGGATCGTTCCAGCGCGTACCTGGACGCCCTCATAGCGTGCTGAAGCGCTCTGGATCGTCCGAGGCGCCCCAGACATCCTCCAGAACCGCCAGTTCTCCAATGCTCGCGCGGGACTGGCACTGGGATGAATCGTTCAAGGGCGCTTGTGCACGCTCTAAGAGCGCTCTGGAGCGCTCTGGAATGGCCGCGGCGCCCGATACGTCTCACAGAACCCCCCATTTGTCCCTGCCCGGCGTCGCGGCGCTGGAGGTGCGTCTCTCTCGGGGGTCAGGGTCGGGCGGGGCAAGGGCGAGGAGAAATCCGTGCCAGAGCGGCACGGTACACCCTCAGAGCGTTCCAGAACGCTCTGAGAAGGCCGCGGCGCCCGAGACATCCTCCAGAGCCGCCGGATTTCAGAGCTTCTCGATTTCTTTTCACACGATTTGATCCTCGTCCTGGCTTCGTCTTAGGACCTTATCTGCCTCGTTACGCCCGTCTCGATACGCAACACGTGCCGTGCTCAACACGTCCGTGTGAACACGTTGCGTGCTGGCTCAGCGTATTGGCCCACGTTTTGGCGAACGTATCGCGCCAGATCTGCGTGTTCAGTCTACGTGTGGAGCTCCGTATCCATACGCCACGCGTTGCGCGTTGCGCATCGGGGCAGCTCAGCTTAGGGCGTGTCGCGGCGCCGGAGGTGTCTCTCTCTCTCTCTCTCTCTGCCAGGGGCAACGATAGGGTGGGGATAGGCATAGATGGGGATGCATCGACCCCCAATCGCCCACTGATCGCCGATAGGGGCCCGATAGCCCCCCTCTGCCCGAGGGTGTGGATTCACGATCGCAGGGCTGTCGCCGCTCTCTCGGCGATGCCTCGCCGATCCCAGGTCGATGCACCCCCCCTCATATGCCAGATGCCAGAGTCCCCCTCCTCTTCCTCCTCCTCGTCGTCCTCCTCCTCCTCCTCCTCCTTCTCCTCCTCCTCCTCGTCGTCCTCCTCCTCCTCCTCCTCCCCCCCCCCCCTGACCGTGGCCCCTCACTCTTTCTCTTTCCCTCTCCCGGGGCAGGGGCGGCGCGCCGAGGACGCAGGAGAAGTCCACGGCCCTCCACCTGGCGGCGCGGGGCGGCCACGCCAAGGCGGGAGAGGGCGGAGGGCCACGGGGCCATGCCTTTTCGGCGGTCTCGGCGGCTGCTCCCCCTCCGCTCTCCGCTCTCCACGCGCCCCCCGTCCCCCTGTAAAAACGGTTTGTTGAAGGCAGACCTGCCTTCAAAAAATCGGTCTACTCTGCAAGAACGGTTTTTGGAAGGCAGATCTGCCTCCAAAAAACCGTTCTTACAGAGTAGTTCATCCAGAATCTCTAATCTCTAACGGGCAATGTCGGCCACGCGCAGAGGGAGGTGAGGGGGGAGGGGGTGGGGGGAGGCCTCTCGGGAGCACTCCTGCTTCTCAGAAGGCGCGGGCCTTGTCTGTGGGTGCAGGGCTGGCGCCTTGAAGCCTTCCCCCCGCGCGCCGCCAGCGGTGGCCCCCAAGGTTCGGTGTTGGGCTGAGCTCACCCGTCGGGGCTCTCCGTTCGTTCGGGTTCGCTTCGCGACTGGTCTCACTCACTCCCCCCCCCCCCGCTCGCTCGCCTGCCTTCCCCGCCTTCCCTCCGCCCCCCATCGAGGGCCGAGGTGGCTGGGGGGAGCTCCCTGGCGGGAGCCTCGGGGGTGGTGGGCCTTTCTCTCCTCTCCTCGCTTCCCCCGCTCCCACGCACGCTGTGCTTCGCAAAACGTCCTGCATGACGTCCCCGCCTTCCCTCCCCTTCTCTTCCCCCTGTCGCATGTCCCATTCTGTCCGTGTGAGGGAATGCGGCTCTTCTCTTTCTTTCTTTCTTTTTTTTTTTTTCTCTCTCTCTCTCTCTCTCTAGACCTCTCTCTCTCTCTCTCCTTATCCTTTGTTTTTGTTTGTTTTCTCTCCCTCTCCCTCTCTCTCTCTCTGTCTCTCTCTCTCTCTCTCTGTCTCTCTCTCTCTCTCTCCCTCTCCCTCTCCCTCCCCCCCCCCCGACTGCGTCCTGGTCGCAAAACGTTCAACGACCCCCCCCCCGCCTTCCCTCCCCTTCTCTTCCCCCCTTCGCACGTCCCAATATATCCATGTGAATGATGCTCTGTTCACTCTCTCTCTCTCTCTCTCTCTCTCTCTCTCCCCCCCCCGACGGCGTCCTGGACGTGTGTGCCGCCCTCTCCATGCACTGCTGTTTTACACGGGATGCCGTTATCTGATATGTTCGTAGTTTGGCATCGTTCGAGTGGCACCTCTGACCACCAAGCAAACACGGCCGAAGTCCACACATGCACGGGGAAGGGACGTCCCAGCGATGACGAGCTGATCTGATCGTCGTTTTTCTCCCTCGGGGAACTTCCTTCGGTGTCTCAAAGTGTTGGTAGTCCCCAAACGTGGTGGTGACAACACCTGGCGGTGAGTCTCGGGTGATTTGGTGTCACCACCCGGTTTGGGGACTCGTGCGGTTTTCCGAGGATGTCCCGAACGTTGGTGGGTCCAGGAGTCCGCTGCGGCAGGAGCACCACTGAGTGGTGCTCCTGCCGCAGCGCGGGCCCTCGTCTCAGAATCGGCGCGCTGCCCTCGTCGTCCAGCGTGGCGCTCTCGCCCCAGCGCGGGCCGCTTTTCTGGATCCGGGTTCTTCCTCGCCGTTGTCGCCCCCCTCCTCCTCCTCCCCCTCCTTCTCCTTCCCCCTCCTCCTCCTCCTCCTCCTCCTCCTCCTCCTCCTCCTCCTCCTCCTCCTCCTCCATTCCTTTTCCTTATACATACTTTCTCCCTGTCGCACCCCGAAGCCAGTTTTTAGGGCGGGCCGGGCGTTTCGCCTGAGACTTCCTCACCATTTATGACTCTGGAGCTTGAAACTTGGCAACAGTTTCACAGATGGAGGGCGGGTCGTTTTCAAAATGTGGCTCTCGCCCTCGCGAGGCGCACATTCTTTAAAAAAACATTTGCAAGAGCTTCACGGATTAAGGGCTGGTCGTTTTCAATATGTGGTTTTCGCCTTAGCGCGGCGTGCACTCGTGTTAACAATCTGCAAGGATTTCACGGATTGAGGCCGAGTGGTTTCTAAAATGTGGTTCTCGCCTTGGCGCGGCGCACATTCGTTCAACAAAGATTGCAAGAGCTTCACGGGTTGAGGGCGGCTCCTTTTCAGAATGTTGTTCTTGCTTTAGCGTCGAACACATTTGTTTTAAACAATGGCAAGAGCTTCACGGATCGAGGGCGGATCCTTTTCAAATTGTGGTTCTCCCGTCAACGCCGCGCACATTCGTTTACACATTTTCAAGAGTGTCACGGGTTCCCATCATCAATGTACCAGAAATTGTGTTTGGACGGATTCAGGATTATGCGTGTGCAACGGTTACAGTGGTTCTCTGTGTTGAAGCCCTAGGAATGGCGTTCTGGCATGATTCAGGATCGTCAAGACGAGAAAGGCAGGTTGATCCGTGGCGTTGGAATCCCGAGAACAATGTTTCGGCATGCTTCAGGGTTTTCAAACGGGTGTCTTCCAACGAGGCAGCGTCATCAATGGAACTGAACCGTTGCAGGGGCCTATGTAGAGGGAGCTTGGAGTGAGGGTTTACTCCAACATCGTTGATGATTCTTGGACTTACACTGGTCCTCCTCCTCCTCCCCCTCCTCCTCCTCCCCCCCTCCTCCTCCCCCTCCTCCTCCTCCTCCTCCTCCTCCTCCTCTTTCTCCTCCTCCTCCTCCTCCTCCACTTCCTCCACCTTCCCCCTACCCTACTCCTCATCCTCCTCCTTCTCATCCGCCACCTCCTCCAACGTACGCAGCCCCCCTTCCCCGACTGCGCATAAGACGATTGTGTCTTTTCGGAGGCTCCAGGTCCGCTATGACGCCCGTCGGCGGCTAGGGGGAAACACTCAGCGCAATGGGACGGGATCGGTGGGAGGGATACGATGTTAGATGCGGCGCAAGCGCGCCTAGCCTGTCCATGTCGCCTCTCCTTTCCCTCCCCCTCTTTAGTCTCCTTGTCCCTTCCATCTCCTCCTGCCCCCCCGTTGCTGCCAGTTCCTCTCCTTCATTTCTCCCTCCCTCGCTCTCGAGGAAGGCTGAAACAATTGCACGTTGGCTCATGGACTCGTTGCACCACATACATCGTAAACGAGAGCTGCGCCACACATCATGCAACCCATAGATTTCCCCACGCATGCTCGTTGTCTAGCTGGGAATCCGAATCCACCCTAAGTATCAAACAATATCATGCCAGCCAGCGCCGGTATCTGCCACGCCGGTCCCCGTCCTTGTCAAATCATAGCATGCGTTGCGCATACGTTGATCTACGAATAGCGTCTTCTATGGGTCCAATACAAAACATACGATAAGGGGCACATGCGCATGCTGCTGCGCGCGCATGCCAAAGTTATCCATCAGGGCTTCGCTCATTGCCGCTGGCCCCCCTCTCTCGAAGAATGGGGCATGTCAAAGCAGGCTTACACAGCAAAGCTGAACAATATTTCTCGAATTCTGACGCTTCGCATAGGGAGCTTGTTGACGATCATGGCGTCGGCACGCGATCATCGCGTCATTAGTCATTTATTGAATCGCTTCGCTCATTCCGCCGGCCCATTTCGCATGACTGAGCCTCTTGGGGCCGCTGGGGGGCCTCTTCAGCGTCGCTTGGGGGCCTCCTGAGGGCCTCTTGGGGGCTTTTGGGGCCTCTCAGGGGCCTCTTGAGGCCTCCTGGGGGCTTCTTAAGACCGAGGGCTCGAAGTTTTGTTTTGTGTTCCCCCTTTTGGGCATCGCTTGGGGCCATCTGGGGCCTCTCTGAGCCCCCTCTTGGGCCGTCTTGGATGCCTCTGGGGCCGTCTTGGAGCCCTCTTGGGCCATCTTGGGGCCTTTGTGGGACCTTCTTGGGCCCTCTTGGGGCGATCTTGGGGGCCTCCCTCTTGGGCCGTCTTGGGGCGTCGGGAAGCCGAAAAGATGGACACGCCAAAATCTGGCCAAAACCTAAGGAAAAGTAATGAATTTTGCCTCTTGGGGCACTCTGGGGAGAGCTCTTGGAGGCCTCTTGGGGCGTCTGGGGGCCATCTTGGCCGTCTTGGAACGATCGTGTGGCATCTCGGAGCACTCTTGAACCATCTTGGAGGGCTCTTGGCGGCCTCGTGGCCCTTCTTGAGGCTCTCTGGAGGGCCACGGGGGCGGCGCCCAGGAGGAAAACCATCTCTGATCCGACCCTGCCGGGGATCGCCCGGGGTACTTTTCGTCCGGGGACCCCCAGGGGCCGCCCCGCGCGCGCGAAGTAGAAGTATTATGTAGCAGTTACCGGAGATCTTAGCACGCCTCTGGCCCGTTGGGCCGGCGAATTATGGATCGTAGCCTCGGGGACGCGAATGCAGCATCATTTACAAAAGGATCGTGGCCCCGGGGACGCGAATCTTTGTACTTTACAACGGACCGTGGCCTCGGTGACGCAAATATGATGCGATTTATGAGGATGATGGCTTCGAGGACGCAAATGGTGCAATTGACCCCCCAAAATAGAGCCATGGCCTCGGTGACGCGAACATTGTTTAAATTACGGGGGATCGTAGCCTCGATGGTGCAACTATTGAGCAATAAAAGAAATCATGGTCTCGAGGACGTGGGTATTTGTTAATTTGTTAGGATTGGAGGATTCGAAAATGGCGTAACTAACGAAGGATCGTGGCCTCAGGGGGCGTGAATACTGATTAGTCTACGGGGGATCGTTGGCTCGGTGTCGCAAATCTTGCGCACCTTACAAGGGCTGGTGGCCTCGAGGGCGCGAACACCGAATAATTTGCAAGGGTAATGGCTTTGAGGACGCACTCGTGGCGCAACTGACAAGGGATCGTGGCGTCGGGAGCGCGAATGTTGTGTAATCTGCGGTGGATCGTGGCTTCGGGAATGCAAGCATTCCTTTTTGTGCACGGGGGGCGCCGCCTCAGGGGCGCGGCGAATACGTAATCTATGGTGGGGGTATCGGTGACGCAACAAAATAATTTACCAAAAAGCATATGGTCTGGCGGGCGCAAATTTTGCATACGGGACTCATCCCAGCATTGCGCCATTGAAACAAAAAGGGTCACCTCCTCTCCCTGTAATGAGCTGGGTACCCTAGGCCGGATTGCATACTTTACAAAAGGATTCTGGTTTCGACGATGCACATCTGATGGGATTTACCAGGGATCGTGGCCTCGGAGACGCGAAGATTGTATAATGTGCAGGAAATGGCGGTCTCGGATCGCGAGTATTGCATATTTATGTATGGTTGATGGCCCCGGGGAGGTAGGCACCGAATAATTTACGAGGGTGTATGGCTTCGGGTACGTGAGTTTGCCTTCTTTACACAGCTTATGGTTTCGAGGACCTAAACACAGCGTACTTTACAATATTATGGCCCCGGTGACGAGAATATGATATACTATAATGTGCGCGGAGTTCTGGTCTCGGGCAAGCGAACATCGCATGATGTGTGATGTTTGTTCCCCATATTCAAAGGATGGGGTTCTTGTGATTCTCTGACCGCGCCGGACCCAAACCCCTCCCCTCCTCCCTCTATGCACTAGACGAGAGTATGATGTGAATACGATGGTGATGGTGAATGATAGATGAGTATGATGATGATGACGATGACGATGACGATGACGATGACGATGATGATGATGATGATGATGATGATGACGATGATTATGATGATGATGACGATGATGATGATGATGACGATGATGATGATGATGATGATGATGATGATGATGATGATGATGATGATGATGATGATGACGATGAGCAGATGATGAAGATGTCTCGATCGGTTTGCTGGTTTTAGCACTCCTAAGGGGGGGCGCCATGGGGTATTGCACGGCCTCCGTTCGCGCCTAGATCGCGGGGATGTCTCAGGCGGTTTGCCTGTTTGCATGCTCAACATCTTCCGTTTTCAGAGCAGATTTTGAGGATGTCTCGTGCGAGACGCCTCCTAAGGGGAGGCCGCGGGTATTGCACGGCCCCCGTTTGCGCCCAGATTGCGGGGATGTCTCAGGCAGTTTGCTTGTTTGCATGCTCAACATCGTTAGTTTTCGGAGCAGATTTCGAGGATGTCTCGTGCGAGGCGCTGATTGTCGCACTCCAAGGGGCCCAGATTGCGAGGATGTCTCGAGCGGTTTGCCTGTTTCGGTGGCCGGACTCGTGTGCGCTCAGAGCAGATTCTGAGGATGTCTCGAGCGGCTTGCTTGTTTTAGCCCTCCTAAGGAGGGGGCGCCAGGGGTGTTGCACGGTTTCCGTTCGCGCCCAGATTGCGGGGGTGCCCAGAGCGGTTTGCGTGTTTCTTGACCCAGTATCCTCTACTTTCGGAGCAGGCTTGGAGGATGTCTCGTGCGAGGCGCTGGTTGTCGCACCCTAGGGGGCCTAGATTGCGAGGTTGTTTCGAGCGGTTTGCTTGTTTTGGTGGCCAGACTTATCGAGTGCAGGCGCTGGCATTCGCACCCCAGGGGGCTTCGATTGCGAGGATGTCTCGAGCGGTTTGCTTGTTTTGGCGGCCAGAATCGTGGGCGGATCCTCCCCAGGAGGCCCGCTCAAGGAGACTCCAGGAGGCCCCAGGAAGCCACAGGAGGCCCCAGGAGGTTTCAGGAGGCAACAGGAAGCTCCAAGAGGTCCCAGGATGCTCCAAAGAGGTTCCAGGAGCACCCAGGAAGCTTCAACAGTCTTGAGGACCCCCCAGGAAGCCCCAGGATGCTCCAGGAAGCCACAGGAAGCCCCAGAATGCCACAAGAGGCTCCACCCGAGAAGCTCCAGGAAGCCCCAGGAAGTTCCAGGAGGTCCCGGGAAACCACAGGAAGCGCCAGGATGCCCCAGAAGGCCCCAGGAGGCCCCACTAGGCCCCAGGAGGCCCAAGGAGCGGCGCCACTCCTATGTGTTTTACTGATGCTCCTATAGATCAGGCCTCCCTTGGGGCACAATCCTTTGTGTTGTACGTATGTTCCTATATGTTGTCCTTCTCGTGTGGCTCCAATCCTATGTGTGGTACGTATGCTCCTATAGATTAGGCGTGCCGTGGGGCACGAATCCTTTGTGTTGTACGTATGTTCCTATAGAGTGTCTTTCCCTTGTGGTTCCAATCCGAAGTGTTTTACATATGTTCCTGGAGATTGGGCCTCTCCTGGGGCACGAATCCTCCCCAGGAGGCTCCAGGAAGGCCAAGGCGGCCCCAGAAGGTCCCAGGATACTTCAGGAAGCCACAGGAAGCCCCAAGAGGTACCAGGAGGCTCCAAGAGGCCCGAGGAAGCCCCAGGAAACGCCAGGAAGGACCCAGGAGGTCTCAGGAGGTTCAGTCCCCAGGAAGCGCCGGGAAGGTCCAGGGAAGCCCCAAGAGGCTTCAGGAAGGCCTCAGGAAGCCCCAGGAGGCTCAAGGAGGAGCAGTCCCCAAGAGGCCCCAGGAGGCCCGAGGAGGCCCCAAGAGGCCCCAGGAGACTCCAGGAAGCCGCAGGAGGCCCCAGGAGTTCCAAGAGGCTCAAGGAAGCCCCAGGAAACCCCAGAAAGCCCCAAGAGGCCCCTGGAGGCCCGAGGAGCCCCAGGAGATTTGAGGAAAGCCCAGGAAGCCCCAAGAGACCCCTGGAGGATTCAGACACGCTCAGCCATGCTCAGGCCACTGACGCGTAGACGCTCTCACCCTAAGCTTAGCCATGCGCAGGCTCACGCGCATAGACTCACTCGTACTACTGGGGCTCGTACACACTCAAAGTCATTCACAGATAGACTCTCTCCCAATCTGTCGATATCCAAGCTCGTTTATATTCGAAGTTTCTTGCGCCAAGACATCCACGGCGGATATGCGAACGCAAAGACATGCACAGATGGTGAGCTCCACGCAGTGAATATTTTTTGTTGCGTCGGGCGTCGCCAGTCTCATGTATTTTCACCTGCCCACGACTCCAGCAGGAATTCTGAGACCCCCAGCAGGGCGTGGTGCAGGGTCGTTTGGGGCTCCCCCCCTCCCCTCGAGCGGACTCTAACAGTTTCCAGTAGGGAGCAGAAATCAGAACCGTCACACTGGAAACTGGAACTGGCGTTTAAGTCGGGTGTGTCACTCTACAGGGGGAATATCCGAAACTAGTCAAAAAATAAGCTGGGGACGATATTTCTAGTATGTTTCGATCTTTTGGGATATTGTTTAAAAGTTGTTCGTCCAACATCCGCCTGTAGGGGGACATGCCCGACCTAAAACTGGCGCAGGGAGCAGCAAGCCTAAGCCGCGCAGCCTGGTGGCCCCACAGGGAGGCCGGCGGATCACAAAACCCGTCAGTTCTGCAGCCATGTCAAGACACAGTTATCGAACCACGGTCCGCATCGGTTCGTTTCTTTGACCGAGTGCCAGAGTCCTTCGCGCGCGCTCGCTGGACTCATTACGTGACCCTCGGTGCTCAGCCACTCTGTCAAATGAGACCATGCGGGCCACATGCGCGCGCATGTCGCAATCTGTCAATCACGGTCGCGCCCCTCCGTCTCTGTCAAACTGTACAGTGCGGGCTACACGCGCGCGCGCGCCTCCGCGCGCAAGCACACCGCAACCCTTACAAAACAAGAGGTTGCACGAGTATTTCAACGCAGCTATGTTCAAACACATACGAAGCAAAACGGACTTCCAACACACGTATGGCAGGAATTCTGAATTTCAGCGGGACCGCACTTCCTCATCACCCGCACCAGCACAATCGTTACCATCATTGTCAGCTTTACCGTTGCCATCGCCATCGTCATCATTATCACCATCGTCGTTGTCGTCTCCGCCGCCAGCACTCGTCATCGTCGATGCCGCCGCCCTCGTCTAATGTCCGTGCGCGCGCGCACTTGCTCATCGTTCTCACCAGCACTATCGTCGTGATCATCGCCAGTGTCATCCTTGCCACCGTCGTTGCAAGCATTATCAGCTCCATCACCATCACCATCATCGTCGTCGACATCGTTCCCACCGCCAACACGAACATAATCATCGTCATTGCCACTATCACCGCCCAGCTGAGCGTTGTCAGCAAATTGTTTGCACGCTCGTTGGAGATGGTCACAAGTGGACGCGGTCAAGATTCATGGCACTCTCCCATTCCCCCTCCACCTCATCAGTGTCGCCCTCGTCGCCGTCGCCCACGTCGCCGCCACTGCCGCCGTCGTCGCCTTCGTCGCCCCCAGCCATCTAGCGTCGTGTGATTTGTCAGCACGGCTCCCCGGGAGTCTGGACCTTTTCCCCGGGCACCGATTCCCATCCCAGGCAGCCTCCTAGAACACGGGGCGGCTCCGCGAGGGAGGGCCGCCTCACCTCCCCCCACAACGCCGAAGACTGCCAGAAACATCCCGTCATGCGAGGGGGGCGTTCGTTGAGGAATGTGCCCACGAGGCGTCAGACCGTGGAGGGTTCCTGATCCGACGAGGGCGGCGGTGATGTCCATGGCCCAGCCTCGGTTGCTGTTCCACCAGCTTTCAGACCCTGGATCCCTTGTCCAAGGATTCGTGCAGCTTCCTCACCGTATCATTGTTCGCGGCGCGAGGGTGTTGGCGCCGCTGCCGCCTTTCGCCGCTCGCCTCCGCGGCCGGCACGGGGCGCCCGACCGCGCCGCCCGACGCCCGCCAGGTGTGCCGTGCTCTGCTCGAGCTCGCCCCCTGCCCGGCGGCGCTGTGCACAGCGTCCGACACTTGCGGCCTGACCGCGCTGCACCTGGCCGCGCGGGGCGGGCACCGCGAGGCACCCTGTCCCCCTGGGCAGCGGCGGCGGCGGCAGCCGCCCGGTGCGGGCAGCAGCGGCGAAGCGGCGCTGGCCAGGGAGGATCGAGGATCGAGGATCGAGCGGCGGCCAGGGGGGAAGGAGCTGGGTCGAGAACCGAGGATCGAAGAGCGAGTTGGAGAGTCGAGCGACGGCCAGGGGAGGGCAGCCGGGCTGCTCTGGGCCTCCCAGACGGAGTCCGAGCAGATGGGCTCGGAGGGTCGCGCCGCATCGTCGATGCATCGGCGATGCGCGGCACGATGTGGAGCCCGATTTTGTCCATGCCGGCCTTGCGGAGGCATGGCCGACGTCGCCGATGAATCGCCGAGGCATCGGCAGTGCATTGGCGATTCACGCGGCACGATCCCTCGACCCCATCTGCTCTGATCCCATTTGGGAGGCCTCCAGCTTCGAGCCTCGAGGGTTCGAGGCCTTTGGGCCCTCTGGGGGGTCTTCTCGTCGCCACGGCCAGATACGCCCTGAGATTTGGTCAGAACGCACTCCGGGAGAGGTCTGGGGGTCGACCCCTGGACCCCAGACAGCCAACGTCTGGAACATCAGAGCGCAGGTGTTTCGTCATGCGCGGCCTGCTGGGGCCCTCGCCAGGCCTCGGCATTGTCAAGAACGACTCGGGGTGAAAAGCGGGCCTCAGGGAAGGGGTCGAGTGTTGGGGGGGCCATCGAGCCACCAGAGGTCTGGAGTCGGGAGGATCGGATTTGGGGGACGAAGGGAGCAGCAGTTCCTGTCCATGTTGGAAGAGGGCTTCTTGTCGGCATCGCCGCGGACGTTGTCAATCTAGGGGGAGCGTGGCCTGCCCAACACATGCCGCTGCAAGTTTGGGGCAAGACTTGCTGAACATCCCCAGTTCCCGCCGATTTCGGAGGAAGAGGAAGAGGGCGACGACAATAGGACGACGAAACAAATTGAAGGGGACGGAAGAGGAGGAGGAGGAGGAGGAGGAGGAGGATGAGGAGGAGGAGGAGGAGGAGGACAACGACGCGAAGGATTGGCAGAGGGAAGTCAGAGGAGGAAGAAGAGGGATGCGTCTGAAGCGTCCCAAGCGGATTCGAGAGCAGGGCTGTGATCTGAGGAGGGAGAAGACGGAGGAGGGCAGACGGGAGATGGGGGAGGGATGCGGGAGGGAGGCGGAGGAGGGGAGACCGAGACAGAAGGGCGGAAAACCGGCGGTGGGGGTGAGCGCGCAGGTGGCCTGCGCGCTGCTGGAGCCTCGGATTGGCGGAGAGATCGGCGGAGAGGTCCTGCTCAAGGCCAAGAACAGGTACCACCAGCGGACCGCACGCTGCCTTGCGGCGGCCGCGCGGTCGCCTTGGCTCACGCATGTCTGCGCACGAGCACACTTACGTGCACAATACACACATACACACATAGACCATACATATATATACATATATATATATATATAAACATATAGATAAATACAAGATTGCATTGGCGCTTCGCGCCATGCACTTGGGTCCTTCAGGTTCGGCATGCAGACAGGAAGACAAGAGGGTAAGCCTGAGCATTTAGCGACAACTCGTTGCTGCCTTTTCTGGCATCGTCGTTGTACTAGTGATGCCCGTTATCCTTCCCTCATGTGTCTTTTTCCTCTTCCTCATTCCGGCCCTACCCTGCGATTTCGCCACCATCATCAGCTCTTTTTGTTAAGGCTCATCCTAGGAGAGCCTCTTGCAAGTCTCACGCAGGTTTTTCCCCACCCGACAGGTTGGAGTTGTTAGATTTCAAGAACAGGCCTCCCGGCCAACCCCACCCTGCCTACCGCGGCCGCCAGACCCCAAGTCGTCCTGATAATCCCAAGTATCCTGGGTGTCCCGTCTCGCGCCCGACCAACCCCATTCTGCATACCGCGGCCGCCAGACCCCAAGTTGTCCCGATGATCACCGAGTATCCCGGGTGTCCCGCCTCTCGCCCTCGCCGAACACGACAAAACACAACATTACAGGACAGAACATGACAGAGCGGAACAGAGCATGACAGAGCATGACAGAACATAACACATCAACATCATGACAACGTAGAGCAGAGCATACTTTCACATAACATATCAGACCATAACATGTCAGAACAGAAGACGACATAAGACCACACGACATAACATAACCGAGCATAACATAGCACACATTGACATAACATATCAGACCATGACACAGCATCGCATAACACACCACAACACCACAGCAGAGCACAGCGACGACGAACACGACAGAACACAACATGACACAACACACCACGACACACATAACATAACACGATCATGACAGACCATGGCAGAACATAACATAGCAATGCCACGGCAAATAGAGCAAACCAGAACACCACACTACATAACATAGCAGAACATAACATAACAGAAAACGACGGACGCAACACACCATACAGAGCCGAACATAACATAACACGCCTTGGCATAACACATCATATCATGACATAGCGTCGCGGAACATGTCATAACACGATAGCAGAGCACAGCGACGACGAATCCAACAGAACACAACATGACAACACACGAGCACGACATATTATAACACGAACATGATAGAACATGGCAGAACATAATATAGCAACGCCATGGCAAAATAGGGCATGCCATATAACCACAGAACATACCATAGTACATCATGACAGGACAGAAGACTCACAGACCACAACACTCACATAACACAACATAACATAGTAGAACCGAGCATAACATAATACACCTGCACAGAACATATTAAGTCGTGGCACAGCACCACAGGGCACATCATAAGACCACAGCAGCTCATTGCGATGAAGACGACAACAATACACAACATGACACAGCATAACATGACAGACCATACCACGAGCATGGCAGAGCATGCCAGAACATAACATAGCAACGCCATGACACAATAGGGCATAGCATAACATCTTCGAACATGCCAGACCAGAACATGACCGAGCAGAAGACGGCAGAGCACACCGTAACATAACATAAGCGAGCATATCATAACACACCTTGACATAATATCATATGCCATTACACAGCATCACATACCATATCATAACACGACAGCAGAGCATAACGACACGTACTAGCAGATCATATCATCACATATGATACAGAGCCGAGCCGTATCACATCGCATACAATAGCAGAACGTGACATATCAGAACAAGTCAAAACACAGCATAACATAGCATAGCCGATCATACCATAACACACCATGCCATAATATGGCATATCACATCATGACGGCATCACATGACATCTCATAAAACGACAGCAACGCATAGCGAAACATACTAGCAGATCAGACCATACGATATTCTACGGAGCCGAGCTGTCAACAGCATCACTGAATATAGCATCGTATAACAGAAATGTGTATACCATACCATGCCACAACACAATGCCGAAGAGCAGATCATATCATAATATTTCAATACACATAGTGACAAATATGATCACACCAAATCATCTTTAACCATAATGGGGATCCATAAGTGAAGAGGACATCATAGCAGACGATGCATCTAACGTCACAAGCGTCACGACGTCAAACCGGCCCGTCGAGAACAGAACAGGACGTAATAGAGCATAACATGAAATAGCGTGAGTACACGGAACACGGTTGAACCGTTTTTGAATCCAGAAACGGCATTGTCGATTAGGCGACCGCGCCCCGTCCGGAACAAACGCTTAAGGTTTCGGTGGGGATCGCTCGAAGCAGAATAATTATGGGCTTGTTGGGGCCTTTTGGAAGCCTCCTGGGTTCCTTTTGGGGGGGGGGGGCACTGGGGGCTTCCCCAGGCCACCCTGATTCCAACCGCGGTCTCCCTGAACGACCAGGTCACGATTTGGAATGATTCGAGAGGAGTCTTAGGGACCATCTTGGGCCATCATGGGGCTCTCTTCGGGCCATCTTGGGGCCCTGTTGGGCCGTCTTGGGGCTCCTCTTGGACTGCCTGGAAGCCCTCTTGGTTAAATTTGGGGCGATGCTCTGGCCTCCTCGGCAGTCTCGGACGCCCGGAAGAACGAAGTGAGCATTCCCAAAAATCATGCGGAAACCATCGGAAATCAATGTCTCTTGCGTTTCGAATGCCTCTTGGGGGTCTTCTTTGGGTCGTCTTCGGGCGTCTGGTGGGTGTCTGGGGGCCCTGCGGGCTCTCGCGGGGCCGTCCGGCCGCCTGGGCCCAGCAGGGGCTTCAGGAGCCCCGGAAAGCAACGGGGGTCGTTTGCAAGGGCGTCCAGAGTGCCCCCGGGGCCAAGGATCCGGAGGGGTCCCGTTTAGGGGGGTGGGCGTTCGCAGGGTCCCAGATTTCAGCGCTATAAAAAAGGGAATGTGTGCATATACATAAATGTATACATACATACATACATACATACATACATACATGCATGCATGCATGCATGCATGCATGCATGCATGCATGCATACCTACATACATACATACATACATACATACATACATACATACATACATACATACATACATACATACATACATACATGTATACATACATACATGCATACATACATACATACATACATACAAACATGCATGCATGCATACATACATACATACACACATACATACATACATACATACACATAACTTCATACGGTCACGAACGTTTGCTTAGCGTGTCGCGCCGCCCGTTCTGCCTCTCCCTGCCCGCACCGCTTGAGGGGAGATCTCCTCATCACAGGGCGCTCCTGGAACTCCCATCACGGCGTGGATCCTCGGCACACCTCGGCTTGCGCCCTCGACCGATCGTCTGGAGGAGATTTCTTCGCCCCCCGGCTGACGCCTACGTACGTGCCCGACCCTTGTCCGTCATCCAGAGGCTGCGTGCTGAGATGGGCAACGTGGAAGGACGATGTACGGTAGGTTCGCGTCGTGTCGACCCGCGGCGACCCCGCCGCTGGCGTTCAACGTTGAACGCTGCTGGCCGCTGGCGACCCAGAATCGGTCGATGCTGAACGATCTGACGTTCGGACACGGCCGATCGTTCAAGGTGGAAGGATCCCCGCGGTGTCAGAAACCAGCGCCGAAGTCGGCACGACACGAACCTGCCGTAACAAAATGGACCGATCCACACCGAGGGCGTGGCGGCCGCCTCTGTGCTCCGAGCGGCAGCCCTCGGTGGCGGCCGCCTGCGGCGGCCCGCAGTGGCCCTCTGCGGCCCCCCCCTCGCGCTCGCCCCGAGAGAGGACCGCACTACACCTCGCGGCGGCGGATGGCCACCAGGCGGTGACGCGTGAGCTGCTGGACCGCGCCGCAGACAAGCAGGCCGCAGCCGCACGGGGAGCTGGCGATGGCGACGGCGATAACGACGGCGACGACGACGGCGATGGCGAAGACGGCGGTGGCGGCGGTCGGCGGTAGCCGACGATAGCGGCGCTCGGCGGCGACAGCGACGACGGCGACGATGGCGCGGGCGGAGCCGGCGGGTAGAACAGAATTTCAGCGCAATGGGACGGGACGGGCCGGAGGGGGTAGGGCGCGCCCAGCTTCCCTTTGGGCCGGTCTCGCGCGTAGCCGCGCCGTTTTTGCCGCTCGCGTCGTCGCTGTCTGCGTCCAGCCCTCCTCGGCATCGGCGTCGGCGGCGGCGCGGCCATCCTCTCCGCCGCCGCCGTCGGCGGTGGCTTTGGCGTTGGCGCCGTGGCGCCGGCGATCTGCTCGCAGCGGCGGAGCGGGCCCCGCAGGCGCTGCTGACGGCGACGGACGAGCTCGGGCAGACTGCCGCGCGCCCAGCGCGCGCGCGCGATGGCCGGCCACAGGGGCGCGCCCCGCGGGCGAGGTCCGCCGAGGGACTTGCCGACGGACGGCGACGGGCCGCCCGCGGGGCCGCGGGCGGCGCGGCCCAAGGCGGCAGCGGCGAGCGACCGCGGCGGCGACGAGTGCACCGAGCGGCTGGTGGGTTCGGGGGGGGAAGGCATCGATCCCCGAAACGCCCACTGATCGCCGACAGGGGCCTGGTAGCTTTGGCCCTATCGGCGAAGTGTCGCCGATTCCAGCTCGACGTTTCCCCCCCTGGGCCAGTTCTTTCTTGTCGGTGCCCCTCAGACAGACAAGTGCGGGCCGCGTGTGGGGAGAGGATGGCGCGGACGACGGCGCCAGCGGCGAACGATGGCGGTGAAGACGAGTCCGCCGAGCGACTGACCGACGGACGACGACGGGCCAGCAGAAAGAGGATGGCGCGGACGAGGATGGGGATGGGGGAGACGCACAGATAGGAAGAGAAACGACTCTTGCTAAACAAGAGGGGGTGACAGAGACAGACAGCGAGAGTAGCCAGCCCAGGACGGAGCAGAAGCTCCGTTCGGCACAGGTCTGGTACCCTCGCAGCAGTTGCCCCTGCTACACGACGGGGTCACCAGAGCTCTGCACTCGACGGCCTCCCCAGTCTTAAACGAACGACAGTATTCACGCAGCGCCGCACATTCGCGGCTCGCGCGCGCCCGCTCCACGGAGAGGGAAGGGGGAAGTAGTGCGGGTTGAAGAGTGAGGGAGAAGGAGAGGCCAGGCGGGGGGGAGGAGGGGCAGGAGGACAGGGGACGTGGGAAACAGGGAGCAGAAGGATGGCGAGGATGGTGCGGTAGTGGGGGTCGGGGAGGGGTGAGAAGGGAGGCGGAGGAAGAAGCAGGAGGGAGAGAGCGGCAGGAGTTGAGAGTGGAGAGGGGGGAAGAGGGCGAGGGGGAGGAAACGGGGGCGGAGGAGGGTGAGGAAGGATTTTGAGGAGGAGGGGGAAAAGGAGGAGGAGGAGGAGGAGGAGGAAGAGGAGGAGGAGGAGGAGAAGGAGGAGGAGGGGGAGGGGGATATGACGGAGAAGGATGAGGGACCACCATAGCATCGCCCCTTCTTCATCCACCGCCTTCCCCTCCACACGGTTGTCCTTCATGATCCACCCCCTCTTCGGGTGAAGCGATAACGCATCCAGCACCTGGAAGCGTTATCCTGGCACCCTGAGGAGGAGGAGAGGAAGAGGAGGAGGAGGAGGAGGAGGTGGAGGAGGAGGAGGTGGAGGAGGAGGAGGAGGAGGAGTTGCAGGGAATACATTGTTTTTGTAATGCGGTGCGGTGCTAAAGATATCGCTCTGCTCAATCCGCCTCCGCGACCTATTTTTTTGATGTTCGTTTCGGTGCTAACGAGAACACAGGGGAGTTTCTTCATAGCTTCATGAGGTTATCCCTTCTCCTCGTTTCCCCTCACGAACAACGACGAGTTCGACCACGACGACGATCATTACGACGACGGCGACGGCGAGGATGAAGACGACGACGACGACGCGAAGGCGACGAAGGAGCCGACGACAACGACGACCATGACGGGGCTTACGCCGACGGCTACGCTTACGCCGACGCCAACAACGGACGATGACCACGGACGACGCCGACGCCTACGACGACGCCGACGCCTACGCCTACGACGACGACGACGACGACGACGACGACGACGACGACGACGACGACGACGACGACGACGACCACAACGCCGATGCCGACGCCAACGCCGACGCCGATGACCGACGAGGCCAGGCGACGGCGACGACGCTGGCGTGACGGCTGGCGACGACGAGCGACGCCCAGCAGCGAGAACCTCGCGAGGCTGGCAGGGAGAACCGGGCCCTCCGCTCGCCCGCCGGGGGGCCCTGCCCGTCCTCAGTTCGCGCGCCGACCGGGGCGCTGGTGGCCCGCCGGCTGCAAGCATCTCTTTGTCTCCTTCCGCTCCCCACGAGGGGCGAGCGTGTCCATATGAGGCGTTCCAAAAAGGCCCTTGCCTTCGAGGATCGAAGGGGTTGCCATCCCTTCCGCGGCGGAAGGCGGCGGAAGTAGAACGAGGCCGCCTCCGCCGGCGGAAGCAAAAGCCGGCCTCCCAAGAGATGACAACCTTTTGGGGTTCAGGGTTTCAGGAACCCGCCACGTCCATATCCACGCCGTCGCGATCCCACGGGTACGCGATCCCACGTACCCTGACCGTGAAAGCCTGGCGGCCACAGCGCACGCACTGCACCCCCTGCGATACGCAAGCCTGGTAGACGTGGTGGGTGCATCGTCCCTCTCTCTCTCTCTCTCTCTCTCCTTAGTATCGCTCGGACGTGTGCAGTGTTCCCTGGCGAGAACCATCGAGGAGCATTTTGAGTCATCTTGCGGAATATACACGCGCGAAGCCGAAGAATGCACGGGGAATGGACGTCCCAGCGATGGCGAGTCTCTCTTTTTGTTTGTGTTCTCTCTCTCTCTCTCTCCAGACTGAGGACCTCCCTTGCGGAGGGGCGAGGCGCTACGCTGGGGATAGGAACATGCCTTTCAGCCCGCAGCCTCCCGACCATTCACCCCAGCCCGAACCTCCGAGGCCATCGCTGCCCCTGCGTTTCGGCGCCTGGGGGGTGGGGGAGGGGGCCCTCTCGGGCCCCGCGGGCCATCGAAAACGGATCTGGGACGAGAGCTGCCCGTGGGGAAGTCCGGCCGAGAGGCCGTGGGGCCGCGGCCCGAAAAGCTCGCGGCCCCGTGGAGGCGCCTCGTCGCCGCCGAGGCGCCCTCCGTGTGTGCCCGGCGGCGCGTGCTCGGCGTCTGCCGATGCCCTGCCCGTGATCCTCAGGGCGCGGGCTGGCCCGGGGTCGGGCCTGTCCCTCCACAGGAGGAGTATCCCAAAACAGTCAAAGGTAGTCTGGGAACGATTCTTTTTTATGACTTTTGACTCTGGGGGGGTATTTGTCTTGACAGTTTTTAGCTGTTCGCCCAGAATCCGCCTGTAGGAGGACGTGTGTTAGCCCAGTGTGTGTGTGTGTGTGTGTGTGTGTGGGTGGACGTGTGTCATCTCCACCGGTCTCAGGCAGCCTCTATCTTGGCGGCTACAATGGGTGTGGTTGCGCCGGGGTGCGCTTTGCGATCTGCGCCGCTGGGGCTTAGAGTTCACCGCGTTGCGCCAAAGGTTTGGTGAGCCCTCGTCGGGGCACGGCAGAGATCTCTGTCGAGATCCTCGCCCGCCCCGCCAGGCGCGGGTTGCAAACAAAACCCTTTGCAAACCACACTACTTGGAGGTGCTGTCTATCGGCTGTGATAGCCCAGTATGTGACTGTTCTGCTCAGCTCCACCGACCGCAGGTTACGTTGCATCTGCGGGGGACCTCGATTGACCGCAAAATTGGTGTCTTTACTTACGCTCGACCCGGGCTTGATGCGGACTCGACGCGGATTTGGAGCGGATTCGACACGGACTCGACGCGGATTCGACGCGGATTCGATGAGGCCGACATGGGTTCGATTTGGACTCAACGCGGATTAGTCGTTCTTGAAAACATTCTGGGCGTTTGTTCATAGTTTGCAGTTTTTGTTGTCTTGTCAGTCGTCGACGTGGACCTCAAACCGATGAAAACACGGAGCCACGAAACTATAAACAAATGTTTCGCGGCGAACGCTTTCAAACTAATCACGAACAACGATGGTGTCAAAGCTTAAAGCGGTATGAACATGTACTCTTGCAAATTGTACACAACCACGTGCTTGCGAGCACCGGAACATGCACCCGCAATGTTGTGTATTGTATTCTATGAGGAAGGGAGCAAAATGCAGCAGCAGCAGTCAGAACAGCGGAGAAGAGGAGATGGGAGGACAGGAAGTCAAGGGCCAGACAATCTATTGGCCACGCGGCCGGGACAGCGGAGAAGAGGAGAGGAAGAGGAAAGGAAGTGGAGGGTTGCGCCGATACAGAGGAGGGGGAAATGCTGACCAATCTGCCATCTCAGGGAGTGGAGTTGCAAACGTTTCGAAAAGGTATTGCAAACGTATGGAAAAGGATCCCAAACGAGCAACTTCGACCGTTGGCCCAGGGGAGGTGGATATGGTGAAGATTTGCTCGCTGCCCGCTGCAACGTGCAGCCCGTCCTTTCAGCAGTTCCTCCTGCCGACTCCTAATTGTCTGTTAGTCGGCGCCAGTAGACGACCATGCAAACACAGCGTTGCGAGATAGACCTGCAAAAGTGACTCGTAGAGCTTTCCAGAGAGCGGAGCCGCGAAGCTTAAGAGTAATACGGGATGTTTTCTGGGCTGGCTGGCTCGGGAAGCCTGGACGGAAGAATGTCTGGCATTTGCCCTGTTGAAAATTACGTTGGAAGTTATCTGGCCATTCGCTTGGCCCTCAAATAAGTTTCCCAGGCAGCTTCGATATCACTCCTGCTCGCCACCTTAATGTCAAATCGATCGGAGCGTTTTGAAGGGCGAACAGTGTCCTAGAAGCAACTCGCCTTCGAATCGTTGTCTGTGAACATTCGATTGGCAGGCTTGATCTCGTTATTTGAAAGAGCGTGTTCTACCGCTGCTGGCGGAAAACCGGGGGGGGTCACTACCGGTTCGAACCCCTCCCCCCCCCCCCTCCGGAAAACCGGGGGGGGGTCACTACCGGTTCGAACCCCTCCCCCCCCCCCCCAGCTCATCATGAAAAGGGGGGGGGTCACTACCGGTTCGAACCCCCCCCCCCCCTCGAAAACCGAGTGGGGGTGCGGACAGTGGTGGGGACGGTGTTGGTGGGGACAGTGGTGAGGGGACAGCGGGACAGTGGTGGGGACAGTGGGGGGACAGTGGGACAGTGGTGGGGACGGTAGTGGTGGGGACAGTGGTGGGGACAATGGTGGGAACAGGGGGGACAGTGGACAGTGGTGGGAACGGTGGTGGTGGGGACAGTGGTGTGGGGACAGTGGGAATGAGGTGGAAACACTGGGACAGTGGAGGGTACAATGGTGGTGGGGACACTGGTAAAGGCGGTGGCGAGGACGGCGGTGGGACAATGGGACAGAGGTACAGTGGGGACAGTGGTGGGGACAGTGGGGACAGTGGTGGAAACAGTGGGACAGCTCAGTGGGACAGCGGAGGAGTCAGTGGGACAGTGGGGACAGTGGGGATAGGCAGTGGTTGGGTCCGTGGAGACAGTGGGGAGAGTGGAACCGTGGTGGGAACAGTTGTGGGAACAGTGGGGACAGTGCGACAGTGGTGGGGGCATTGGTGGGGACAATAGGGACGGTGGTGGAACCAGTGGGGACAGTGGTGGTGAGGACAGTGGTGCTGGGAACAACAGTGGGGGATGTGATGCGAGCGGTGGTAGGGACCGGGAGTCGTTTGCTGGCGGTGCGTGGGGGGGGGGTCGAACCGGTAGTGACCCCCCTCCGGTTTTCGAGGGGGGGGGGGGTTCCAACCGGTAGTGACCCCCCCCGGTTTTCCGGATCCGGAGGGGGGGGGGTGGGAGGGGTTCGAACCGGTAGTGACCCCCCCCGGTTTTCGAGGGGGAGGGGGGGGGGGGGGAGGGAGGGGGGGGGGGGGAGGGGTTCCGGCAGGGGGGGGGGGATTTTCGGAGGGGGGGGGGGAGACCCCCGGGTTCCAGAGGAAAAGGTTGGCAATTTTCCACAGTAAAGCGGCGGTGGATCACGCTCTCTCCGTTATTTGGAGCAGTTACAAGGTTCTCAACTGCGCCAATGAATTCCGCAGCCTCGAGAGCATTATTTCACTCGAGAGATCTGGGGTCGGTCTGTTACTCGAGCTATCTTCCAAAAGCTAGTTCCTCTATGCAACAGCTTTTGCTCGATCGAATAGTTTGCGGCCGTAATCTCGAGAACGAGATGAAGCTCAGAGCTCGGCCTGTTCGGGCACGGGGGTGCGACCAGTGGTTTCGTTGTTCTGCTCCCGTAGACCAGAATTCGGTCTGCTGCTCGAGCTATGATCGAACAACTAGTCTCACTCTGCAACTGCTCTGTTGATAAACGTGATGTTTCTGCTGCGTATCGAGATATAGAGCAGCTGCAGAGCTCTCGATTGCACCAAAGGGTGCAGCACCCTCGAACGCATTAGTCGAGAGCCTTGAGAGACCTGCGATAGGTCTGCGACTCCAGTTCTCTGCAGACGACTAGTATCATCATTCAAGCGCTTTGCTCCATCGAATAGTTTTTGGCCTGGATCTCGAGATTTACAGTGACATGAAGGTTGTTCCTCTTCACGCAGACGGGTACGACCAGTAGCTCGCTTTTCTGCTCTCAGAAATCTGAGTTCGCCTCGTCACTCGAGCTATCATCGAAAAACTAGTCTCATTCTGCAGCTGTTCTGCTGTTTTGCACGGTTGTTCTGCAACATTTCGGGATTCACAGCAGCTACAGGGCTCTCGGGTGCAGCAGCCGACCCAGCAGCGTCGAAAGCACCAGTTCCGAGCCTCGAAAGGCTTGATTCAGCGCAACTATCCTAAGGCGTCTGCGCCCCGGCAGAAGCTCTACGACTCCACCGGCGGTGCGCGCCGACGCGACCAACAACGGTCTGTCCTGCGTTGGCGCGCTGGCTGCCGACGCTTCGCGCCGCGCCGGCTGCGATATTCGTCTTCATTCTTCGCCCTGCCGAGCTTCACACTTTGCTTTGCCAAACGGGCCCTCTTGGGGGACAGAAAACTTCGGATGCAACTCCTGGGAGGTCAAATTCTGATTTTGCCCTGGTCCGAAATCTGGCCTATTCCCGCTCAATCCCGCTCAATTTGGCGCAATCCCGCTTCATCCGCGGCCCAATCCGGCGTAGCAGCCCCCCAGTGGAGCTCAATCCTCCTCATTCTTTCCGGCCCAGACCTCCCAGCAGCTGCCCCCGAGACAGAAACTATCAGCACCCCGCCTGCGCAGCGCTGCAGGGCCTCGGAGGGCCAGCACGCGCTGCCAGCGCGCAAGCCTGAGGACCGTCGCGTGGGCGCGTCGGCCGCCGAGGCCCTGCACCTCGCGGCGGAGGGCGGCCACGGTGGCACCGCCTCCTCGCTGCTCGAGCAGGCGCCGCCAGCTGCTCCAGCGCGGCCCCCCCGGCGAGGAGAGGCGGCGGCGACGGCGGCGGCGAGGCGCGGCGAGGGGGGCGAGGCGCGGCGAGGGAGGGTCGAGGTTTTTCGCCTCCGCCTCCTCCGCCTCCTCCTCCTCCGCCTCCTCCTCCTCCTTCCCCTCCTCCTCCTCCTCCTTCCCCTCCTCCTCCCCAGTTCCCCCGAAGTCGGGAATGTTCTTCCCTCGGCGTGATTGAATTCAGCCATGCGCCCAGGCTCGCTCTTGGTCACCGCCCTTTTCACAATCTAGATTCCAGAATCTCCTTCTCCTCCTCCTCCTCGTCGTCGTCCTCCTCCTCTTCCTCCTCGATCTGGAGCATCGCCACTGCATTGGCGATGCATCGGCGATGCGGCGCGATCCTCCGACACCATCTACTTGGACCCCATCTCGGCGGCCTTTAGAATGGCGACAGCCCAAGCATCCGCGATGTCCTGATGTGTTCAATCCCAGGTCCAAGGGGGCCCCGATCCTGCATGGCCAGCTTCCCACCCGGAGTCGTTTCTTGACGGTCCTTGGGGCCTAGCGGGGGTCACTGAGTGGTTGCTGAAAACGGCGAAAAAACCTCAGCCTCGATTTTCTGCAAGGCGTTGCACGTACGGGAATGACGGCAGCCACGGCGACGGGGCGATGCCATATGGCGGCGGCGGCGAGCGGCGGCGGCGGCGGCGACGGCGACCGACGCCAGTGGCGCCAGCGACACCTGGCCAGGGACTGGCGCCAGTGGCGGCGAGCGGCGCCGACGTCGATTGACGGCCACGATGGCGGCGAGCGACGGCGGCCGCGGCTGGGGGCGGCGAGCGGCGCTTCGGCGGCGGGCGGCGACCGACGTCAGCGGCCCTTGCGACCCGTCGTCGTCCGTCGTCATCGTCGTCGTCAGTCGTCAGTCGTCAGTCGTCCGTCGTCGTCGTCGTCGTCGTCGTCGTCGTCGTCGTCGTCGTCGTCGTCGTCGTCGTCGTCGTCGTCGTCGTCGTCGTCGTCGTCGTCATCGTCGTCGTCGTCGTCGTCGTCGTCGTCGTCGTCGTCGTCGTCGTCGTCCTCCGTCGACCCCGGCGAGGCCCCCGACGCGGGGGAGCTGCTCGCCATCCGTGAGCGCCTCAGCGGCCAGACGGCGCTCCACGCGGCCGCCGCGTCGGCCCGCCCCGCCCGCCCCGCCCTGTGGAGCCGCCGCCCAGGTGCAGGAGGCCTCCTCCTCCTCCTCCTCCTCCTCCTCGTCCTCGTCCTCCTCCTCCTCCTCCTCCTCCTCCTCCTCCTCCTCCTCCTCCTCCAAGGCCAAATACGGTTGGGCCGAGGTACAAGATCGAGGCCGGCTCGGGGAGGGTACCCTCGTGTTTTTTTGTTTCGGGTTTGTTGGATTGCTCTTGCGCATCTTATGGAGGGTACCCATCGAAGGTTCTGCGTGTTCTGGCCGACGGAGGGTCTCATGCTCAGAGGCCCCCAAGAGGGCCCCAGGAGTAATGTACCAGCGGCCGTTGGGTTGGTACATAACTCCTGGGGCCTTCTTGGGGCCCTCTTGGAGCCCTCTTGGAGCCTTCTTGGGGCCCTCTTAGGGCCATCTTGGGGCCATCTTACGGACGGCGACGACAACGACAACGACAACGACGACGACGACGACGACGACCACGACGATGGTGGCGACGACGACGTCGACGACGACGACGACGACGACGACGACAACGACGACCACGACGACGACGACGCGCCCGAAATCAGCCGACACAGCGACCCAACAGTTAAACCGACAAAGTGTCCTTCTTTTGCCCGCAGCGGCTCCGAGACAGCCTGCAGGGCAGCCTTTTTGTGGCCGCAGCGGCTCTGAGAAGCCTGCAATTCAGCGCGGGTTCGTCTGCGGACGCCTCTGCCACCCCAGGAAAAGCATATCATCCCGAGGCCCCGGTGCTTTTTTTCCGGCCCGCCCTTTCAAGGCCCCACGGCCGGCTCCTGGGTCGAGGAAGAAGAGGAGCAGGAGGACGAGGACGTTGATCAAGACGAAAACGAGGAGAAGGAGGAGCAGGAGGACGAGGAGGTTGAGCAAGGGGGCAAGGACGAAATGAGAGGCCTTAAGCGGCTCCGAAAACCCTGCAGCTCAGCGCGGTCTGGCCTCGGAGCCGCTTTGGGCCTCTCATTCCGTCCTTGACCCCTTGCTCCACCTCCTCGTCCTCCTGCTCCTCTGGTTCCTCTTGATCACCTCCTCGCCCTCCTGCCCCTCCTCCTCCTCGACCCGAAAGCTGGCCGTGGGGCCTTAAGAGGGCGGCCCCACAAAAAATCACCGGGCCTCGGGGTGATATGTTTTTCCTGGGGGGGCAAGGGCGTCCGCAGACGAGCCCGCGCTGAGCTGCAAGCTTCTCGGAGCCGCTTCGGGCTTCTGATTCCGTCCTTTCCCGTTGCTTTTCCTCTTGGACTGTTTCCTCGCCCTTTGGGGCCCTTTTGGGGCCATCTTGAAGTCAGCTTGGGCCGTCTTGGGACCGTCTTGTGGACATCTTGGGCCGTCGGACAGCCGAAAAAGAAAACGCGCCCAAATTATTCAACAATTGAAGGGAATACAACCCTTTGGGCATTTCGGGCTCTCCTGGAAGTCCTCTTGAAGACTTCCTAGACTGTCTAGGAGGCCCCTTGGATCCCCCTGGGGCCCTCTGGGGCTGTCTTGGGCCATCCTGGGGCTATGTTGAATCGTATCGTTGCCATCTTGGACGTTTTGGAGCCGTCTTGAAGGCCATCGTGGGCGCCGTGGAGTTCTCGTGGGCCGTCTTGGATGCGCCTTGGGGGCCTCTTGGACCGTCTGGAGGCCGTCATGGGGCCGTCTTGGAGGCCTCTTGGGCGCTCTTGGGGCCACCTTGGGGGTCTCTTCGGCGGCATTGGGCCGTCGGCAGGCCGAAAACGTCAAAATCCGTCAAGAGCCCACGGGAAATCAGCCGTCTTTGCCTCTTCGGGCCTTCTTGCAGGTCCCCCTGGAGGCTTCTTGGACTGCATTGGAAGCCTCTTAGGGGCCTTTGGGGCCGTCCTGGGCCATCTTGGGGCCATCTTGGAACGCCTCGGGTGCATCTTGGGCCGTCTTGGAGACATATTGGGGCCGTCTTGGGTTCTCTTGGGGCAATCCTAGCCGCCTTGGAGGCATCTTGGTGGCCATCTTGGGCCATTTTGGCCGTCTTGGTGGCGATGTGGGCCACGCCTTCTGGTCCTTCCGAGGGGCAGGCGGTCTGGGCCGAAGGCCACTGGGAAGGGTTTGAAAATAACAAGAGCAGCAAAATGTCTGGCACGCCGTCCACCCCTGTGGCAAGCACAGGGGGCGGCGGATCCAAGACGCCTACGGCGAATCACCGCCGCCCCCAGCCTTTTTGAGAAGCGCCTATGTGGCCAAACGTTGGGCCCCAACTTGGCCAAGCTATCTGATTATGTATTCCCCCAGCCGCTCCGGAAACTCTTCGGGGAACATTTGGGGGAGGCTGAGGGGGAGGATCAGGAGAGGGAGGAGGAGGAGGAGGAGGAGGAGGAGGAGGAGGAGGAGGAGAAGGAGGAGGAGGAGGAGGCCTCTTGGGAGCCTCTTGGGGCACTCTTGTGGGGCCTCCTGGGGGCTTCCCGGGGGCCTCTTGGAAGCCTCTTGGGGGCCTCCTTAGGCCTCTTGGGGGCCTTGGGGGCGTCTTGGGGGCTTCTCCTTGGTCGTCTTAAAGCGTTCCTGGCCCGTCTGACGGGTCTGACGCCGTCGGAAGCCGTCTTGGGGGCCTCTCTGAACCGATGTGGGGTCCTCTTGAGGCGTTTCAGGGCCGTCTGAGAGGCCATCTTGGGCGTCTTAGAGGCCTCTTGGGGAGAGGGGGAGGAGGAGGAGGAGGAGGAGGAGGAGGAGGAGGAGGAGGAGGAGGAAGAGGAGGAAGAGGAAGAGGAGGACTGGGAAAAGCAGGCGAAGAGGGAGTAGGAAGAGAAACAGGGAGGAGGACCAGGAGAAGGAGCAGGGGGTAGCAGCGACGAGACACAGTCGGACAACGAGAGACAAAGTCGGAGCAACCCCCAACCCCCAGAGTCTGGGGGCGCCCCAGAGTCTGAACAGCACCTGTTTTCATATTTGTTGGCTCAACAATTCGAAGAGGCAGGTTTCTTGTTCTGTTTGGTTCAATTATTCGAAGGGGCGAGGATGCGAAACTATATTTGTCGCGCTGGAAGAGGAGGCGGACCAGTGCAAACCCACGACTTATCAACGATGTTGGATTCCACCCTCCCTCCAAGCTCCTCTCCATAGGCCTCTTTACAAGGGTTCATTTCCACAGGGAAGTGCGCAGTTGGGGACAGCCGTGTGAAAATCTTGACGCGTGCCAAACCATTCTCAGACCTTCAACGCGACGAGTCAACCTGACTGTTGCGTCTTGACGATCCTGAATCGTGCCAGAGCACCCTTCTTGGGACTTCAACACCCCGAACCAACGTAGTTGTTGCACCCTGACGATCCAGAATCGCTCCAGAACACCACTTCTGGAATGTTAGCCATGCGATCCTTTGGAACTGCTGCAGTTTCTTAAGACGAATGTGGGCGGCGCTGAGGCGAGAGCCACATTTTGAAAGCGGCCCGCTCTCAATCCGTGGGAAATTTACAAACTTTACCAAGAATGTGCGCGGCGCTAGGTGGAGAGCCACGTTTTGAAAACGACCCGCCGTCAATCCGCGAAATCTTGCAAATTCCTGGAACGAATGTGCGCGGCGCTGAGGCGAGAGCCTCATTTGTAAAACGAAGCGCCCTCAATCCGTGAAGCCACTGCAAATTTCTAGAACGAATGTGCGCGGCGCTGGGGCGAGAGCCGCATTTTGAAAACGGCCCGCTTTCCATTTGCGAAGCTGTGTTCAGTTTTGAAGCTTCAGGCTTGAAGATGGTCAGGGAGTCTCTGGCGAAACGCCTGGCCCGCCCTTCCGACTGGCCTCGGGTGGCGACAGGGAGTTGTTCACAAGGAAGAGGAAGGGAGGAGGAGAAGCAGGAGGACCAGGAGCAGGAGCAGAAGCAGGAGCGCAGGAGGAGGAGGACCCCCCGAGCCGGCGCGCGCGCGCGAGGGACACCCTGCCGCTGCCCATGCCGTCCGCGCCCTGCTGGAGTATACCCCGGACCGCGCTCCCACGGCCCCCCCTCCTCTGGCTCTTGGGTCGCTCACTCGGCCTCCGCGGCGCAGCGCTGCACAGTCTGCAGCATCGGCCTTCGCCCCTCTCGATCGGGGTGGCGGCAGCGGGTCTGGCTTCGCGATCTCTTCCCGTTTGGCTCGTCGGAGTGCAGAGGCCTGCCCGCCCTGCTCTGCCCAACGGCGGGCGAGGGGGGGGGGGGGCATTCCCTCAGTTTTCGCGGGCGCACCCCTAAACTTGTCATCGTCTGCTGGCTCTTGTCAATCTTAGTGATAGGGATACGTTCGAGGCCGGTCAATACAGCCGTTCAGCGTATTGGATAAGTAGCAAGCTTTTCGTACAGTTTTCGGTTCGGAGCCCCGCCTCGGGCCCCGGGGCCGTCACGAAGCTACTCGGGATGGGAAGCCAGCCCTAAGGGAAAGCGTCGGGGATTCCGGAGACCCTGTAACGGACTGAAGTCGAGACATCGGATGTCGTTTGGGGAGGGGTGCTCCGGGGGTCCACGCTGCGAGCAAAAACAACGTCCAGGGTGCGATGAGTCGCCCCCAGGTCCCACCCCCCCCCCCAGAAATTGATTGTGTGCCGAAAGCAACGACTCGAGGGTGCGCTGCCAGGGTTCTGTCCAGACGCGTCCCTACCGAGGATGGGCGCCGCCAGTCTTGTATGTCCGAAAGTCCCCTTTGGCTTCGGACAGGTAGTGGGGTCGTCACGCTTCCGTTTGGAGGAGGGAAGAGGGATTGCTTCTTGGGCTGGCTGCTATAAGTCAGAGCTTAGCATACTAGTAGCACGTCACAACATGAATGCTGCACAGGCGATTCGGCGCAGACGTAAAAGATCGCGAGATGTCCCCCTATTGGAATCAATGAAATTCGGCGATTGCCAAAGCGTGGGTCGCTACACATGGGCAACACACACAGTCGCAAGCGGTAGCAGCTCGCATACATGAGAGCTGATAGGGGGATCTGCAGAGCTGAAAGGGGGAGGGAGGAGGACGGAGCGGAGGAGCAACAAGAGATGAGGAGAAGGAGGAAGAAAAGGAGGGAGGAGTATGACGAGGAGGAGCAGCAGTTGCTCGAGACGAGAGGGGCGACACTATAAGAGAGAGAGAGAGAGGGATGGAGAGCCGTGTATATACATGTGTGTATACACATATACATATACATACACTTATACAGAATGTGCACATACAGGCACAGAGAGGGAGAGAGAGAGAGAGAGAGAGCGAGAGAGCGAGATAGTGGGAGAGAGATGGAGAGATGGAGAGAGAGAGAGAGAGCGAGGGAAAGAGAGAGAGAGAGGGAGAGATCGAGATAGAGGGAGAGAGAGAGAGAGAGATAGAGACACCAACACTTATACATGCAGCACCAGGGAGAAGGAGAGCGAGAGAGAGAGAGGGAGAGCGATATAGCGATAGAGCAACAACATGTTGAATGTAATTACCTATGTATGTAGAGAGGGGGAGGGGGCACGATTTTCTGATATGGCGAAGTTGATGCGTTCTGTCAAATGGATTATGGGGAGATTCAGGTGGTCGTCATCCGCGCCCGCTTCACGTGTGGGAGCGAGGGAGGGGAAGGGCGGCGAGGGAAAATGCGACGACGAGGACAAGGAGTTCGAAGTTCTTCAACACTCATCCCAGATCCTCAGGGTTCTAGGCATGCCCTCGGAGGTTCCTGGACGCTTTCGAAGGTTTGGGAGGTCCCCGTCTTGCCTCGGGGAAATTGCGAGTGGAAACGGGCGAAAGGAGGAAGGGAGGGTAGGGTCCACGTCAATCCGAGTGATTCGATTCAACGTCGATTCTGGCCGTCTCGATCCGATCCGATTCCGATGCTCCGTCGACCCGACGCGGCCTGGTGCTTGCATGACGCTGCTGTGCATTCTGGCGCGGCCGATCTGATCCGATTCCGACCCCGTGCCAGCTCGACCCTTTCTGACGCACATTTCGATCCGATCCGATTTCCAGATTCGATGTTGACAGATCCTGCCATGGGGGGTAGAAAGTCTTCGGAAGATTTAGACGGTCCTCGGAGTACACACCCTTGGCGCCCCCCAAAAGTTGGGGGCGTCTTTTTCCATTTTCAGGATTTCGGCTTTCGGGCAACCAAACAGGAAAAAAGGCAGCCCAAAACAGAAACAAAACGGCAGTACAAAAGGGATTCGAACTGCAACCAGCGCGAACGACATTCCCCACAGCGGGAAAAGACCCACCCCAGCACGGAGAACAATCAGATTCGATCTTGAGAATTGGAAAAGCCGCACCCAACGGTTTTAACATCGTCTAAGTCCCCTCCCCCTACCGAGAGGAGAGAGGAGAGAGGAGAGGGTAGTTCGGTGGGTATTCGGCAGTCACGGAGTGCACAGACACACACACACACGTTCCGACCGCCCGGCCATCTGCACCCGCTCTCCCTCGGGGGAGGCTGGGGGTGGGTCGACGACGACGACGACGACGACGACGACGACGACGACGACGGGTAATGGGTATTCAGCGTGTGGTTGCAGACGGGGTGGGGGTTTGCGAAGGTTGGATCTCTGGGTGCCCGTTTCCGACACGGGGGCTTCCGACGGGAACGACGACCCGAGCCGCGGCGAGACTGCGGGCTACCAAAGACAGGCTCCGGAGCTCCAGGAGCCCGCACGGCATTGCTCGGGGGAGGTGCGGGAGAGACTCGCCCCTCCTCTGCCCCACAGACCCAGAGCAGCGGGCCGCGGCGAATCAGGAAGCAGTCCCGCGGGATGGGGTCTGGAGCACTGGTGGGGGGCTGCAGCCCCGGAGCAGGCACGAGGCCCGCCAGCCATAGGGAGCGGAGCGGAAAAAGCGGATCGGAGGACGCGTACTGCGGTGGGGGCGGTCCCATGGGGGGGCCGCGAGGGCTGCAGAAAAGGGGCCCTACAGGCCCCCATCAAAGGCACCTTCCTTCCCCACCTCCATGTGTCGCCCCCCCGTGCAAATCCGCGCCCATGTGAGAGGAACGAAGAACGACAGATGCATAAAAAACTCAGAGGTCCGCGCGGATTTCTCGGATCGGTGCTGGACCCCCCTCCCTGGCGCTCCAGGGGCGGCACCGGATGCGCCGCCAGGGGGGTCCAGCGCGGATCCGAGAAATCCGCGCGGACCTCACGTAGCACCCCGCAGATGCGGATAAGAGTGAGGGGGCGGCGGGGACGTCGGCAGTTGGCGAGACTGGGGAGAAGCCCGCCGCAGGCGCCAAAGTTTCACAAATTGTACAACGAGCCCGCCGCAGGCGCTGATTTTTTCGTTAAACCAATGTGGGTAGGTCGCGGGTGGGTCGCGGGTGGGTCCCAAATGGGTCGCTGTTGGGTGGCGTGTGGGTCGCGGGTGGGTCGCGGGTGTGGAGGGCGAAAAATCCACCCCATCATAAGAATCACCCCGACAAGCGAAGCCGTTTAGTAAACGCACACAAGGAATGAATCGAACAGGGCAGGGCTGTTTAGTAAACGCCCAGGGCCGTTTAGTAAACGTCAATTGTCGGGTCCGGGTGTTTTTTCCTCCCTTGAGGGTGGGTCGCGGGGTGGGTCGCGGGTGGGTCGCGGGGTGGGTCGCGGGGTGGGTCGCGGGGTGGGTCGCGGGGTGGGTCGCGGGGTGGGTCGCGGGGTGGAGTCGCGGGGTGGGTCGCGGGGTGGGTCGCGGGGTGGGTCGCGGGTGGGTCGCGGGTGGGACGACGACGACAACAAACAACAACAACAACAACAACAACAACAACAACAACAACAACAACAACAACAACAACAACAACAACAACCACAACAACAACAACAACAACAACAACAACAATTACTAGCACGTGGGGACACTCCGTTCTCACCAGTGCCAGGGTTTTCATAGGAGGCGGGCAATACCCCCACTTTGTGGGGGGGCCGGTTCAAGCTCTACCAAATTTCCAAACGACTCTTCGCCACCACCCACACCCAGCTTCCCGCCCTATGACGTTCGGACACTTCACTTCGTGGCATGCGGACGACCGTGGCTACTATTCAGGGCCCCGCGGCCGACGACGACGGCGTGCGCGCGCGAAGAAAAAACGAATGTGTCCCGCATGGTATTATTTGACAGGGATGATGGCCCTGGCAGGTGCGCAACCGTTGTTGCAGAAGTTCGAAAAAGTTGCTCGCAAAAGCCCGTTTGACAGAAATGATTAAAAAGTGTTGGGTTTCCTACGAATCCGCAAGAGCGCGCGGGATGAAATTTTGACATTTTTTTGTGAAAAACCATTGGTTTTTTGATGTTTTTGTGTTAAAATCGCTACGAAAACTAAGGTTTTGGAAGGATTTCGTCTTGCGCGCGCGAATGTCCACTTCACCTTATTTTTTTGCAAGGGATTCTTGAAGTTTGGTTATGTTAGAACAAGAAATGTCCACTTTAGCTTATTTTTTGCAAGGGAAAACGGGGGACAACAAAACAACCGGATCCGGACACCCACGTTTTGCCTGAGACTTCCTCACGAAAATGATGAAAATGCGGCTGCGGCCTAGGCGCGGCGAGGGGGCCGCGCACCAGGGGCCCCAACAATAATTATTCTTTAGAATAAATAATGTTCAACAGCAATCATTTTAAGACTTTGCTCGAGTGTCCAATAACGCGTATTTCCCAAACCCTCGATACCCGCCCTCTTCGTCTTCGATCGAACCCCTTTGGGGGGTATACCTTTCTTCCCTGCAGGCCGGGCCCCGGCAAGCGGCGGGGCGGCCGCGGACCGTCGGCCTGGCCAGCGGCAGCGCTGATCGGCGGGGCGGCCGCGGACCGTCGACCCGACCCCAAGAGGGACGGACAGGGGACCGACCACGACGACGACGACTACGACGACGACGACGACGACGTCGAAGACGACGGCGACGACGACGACGACGGCGACGACGAGCGAAAGCGAGAGCGAGAGAGAACGACAGCAGGGCCACGAAGGGCACGAAGTAGGCCACGAAGGGCGACAGCGGGGACACGAAGAGCGCGAACGAGCGGGGGCCACGAAGAGCGCGAACGAGCGGGGGCCACGAAGGGCCACGAAGGAATGCGTATGGGGCCACGAAGAGCGCGAACGAGCGGGGGCCACGAAGGGCAGATAATGCGCGGCCACAGAAGGCAACTATGGGGCCACTGAGGGTAGCAACTGGGCCACGTAGGACAGTGAGGGGGACACAAATGGCGACAGCGGGGCCACGAAGGGCATGCACATGGGGCCACAACGGGCGCGACTCCTGGGTGCCTGGGTGTCGGGAGCGCGGCGCCTGGGCAAATTGCAGGAAATCCCAACGCAAGGTTACCCTTCAGTAAGTTGCAAGCAAGTCTCCAGCGAGAGCGCGACTCCAGGAGAGCGATTCCTTAATAAATTCTAAGGACGTCCCAAGCGGGAGCGCGATTCCTGAATCAAATGCGAGGAAGTCTCGGGCGGGAGCGGGGGTCCTGGCTAAATGTTAAGGAAGTCTCAGGCGGGAGCCGTTGTTGTTGTAACCCGGGGGCCCGGGGCCAGTTTGAGCAGGAATATTTTCACTGCCAAAAAACAGGGTGCGAGCGTCGAGGGGCACACTTTGATTGAGCAAAAACAGCATGCACGGGTGGGGGGATCAACAACAATTATTCTTCAGAAATGAGAGTTCAACAGCAACAACAGCAGCAACAACAATAACAACAACAAAAACAAACACAACAACAACAACAACAACAACAACAACAACAACAACAACAATCACTTTACCCGAACGCTCAGTGTTCTCACCAGTGCCAGGGTTTTCATGCGACGCCAGCCAATACCCCCACTTTGTGGGGGGGCCGGTTCAAGCTCTACCAAATTTCCAAACGACTCTTCGCCACCACCCACACCCAGCTTCCCGCCCTATGACGTTCGGACACTTCACTTCGTGGCCTGCGGACGACCGTGGCTACTACACTGGCGCATGGGTACAGTGACTTGTTGTGGTAACATTTTCTGGACGCTAGCTTAGTATACGACTTTTCCCCCTGTTCCAACACTGGACACCTATACTGGTTTTTGGAAAAACCATTGTTTTTTTTTAGGATTCGGACAGCGCGCGCGGGTAGAAATTTTGAAAAGTCGTGCAGGTGTTTTTCGAGGACCTACGGTGCGATTCGTGTGATTTTATGATGCGCGGTGCTAAAATTCTTAAGAAGCCCAATGGTTTTTGGAGATTTCGGCGTGCGCGCGCGAAGAAAAAACGAATGTGTCCCGCATGGTATTATTTGACAGGGATGATGGCCCTGGCAGGTGCGCAACCGTTGTCGCAGAAGTTCGAAAAAGTTGCTCGCAAAAGCCCGTTTGACAGAAATGTTTAAAAAGTGTTGGGTTTCCTACGAATCCGCAAGAGCGCGCGGGATGAGATTTTGACATTTTTTTGTTGAAAAACCATTGGTTTTTTGATGTTTTTATGTTAAAATCGCTCCGAACACTAAGCTTTTGGAAGGATTTCGTCTTGCGCGCGCGAATGTCCACTTTACCTTATTTTTTGCAAGGGATTCTTGAAATTTGATTATATTAGAACAAGAAATGTCATTTTATAGTGTTTTTTGCAAGGGAAAGCGGGGGGGAACAAAACAACCGGATCCGGTACTAATCCACTTTTCTGAAGCTTTCGCGAAAAAATAATGAAAATGTAGCTGCGGCCTAGGTTTTGGAGGGGGGTCGTGTACCAGGGGTCCCAACAATAATTATTCTTTAGAAGTAATAATGTTCAACAACAGCAACAGCAACAGCAACAGCAACAGCAACAACAACAACAACAGCAACAACAGTCATCATAATACTGTTCGCTCTTACTTGCCCGTGTGCTTTTTTAAAAAACAAAAAAACGAGTTCCCCACACCCTCGATACCTTTTTTGTCTTCGATCACACCCCCTTTGGGGGGATTCTGTCTCTGTGCGGGGGGCGGCGGGTTTAGGCAGGCGGGCAAACATGAACGGGCGGACAATCTTTCGTTGGCGCACATGTGCCCGCCATTGGAATTTGTGTGGGCCCTGCAAAAGAGAAGGGGGGAACGAGGGAACGTGGGAGGAAGGGAAAGGGATGGACAAAGGAAGAGGGAAAACGCCAGGAGAGAAGGAGCGAAGAGGGGGGCGGTTGATTAGAGGCAGAGAGAGAGAGAGAGAGAGACAGAGAGCGAGAGAAAGCCAGATACGGTAAGTAGAGAAAGAGAGAGAGAGAGAGAGAGAGAGAAGGAGGGGAGAAAGAGAGAGAGAGAGAGAGAGAAAAAAAAAAAAAAAAAAAAAAAAAGGAGGGAGGAGGCAGGAGAGGGGAGGGAGAAGGGAGGTTGGAGAGGAGGGAGAGGGAATAGGGCAGAGAGGCATAAGGATGAGGGAAGAGAGGAGGGAGAGAAAAGGGAGGAGAGGAGGGAGGAGGGAGAAGGGAGAGGGAGGAGGAGCAGGAAGGTTAGAGCGTGAACATCCGAGGAAGTCCTAGGCGAAAGCGCCGTTCCTGAAGAAAGTCCCGGGCGGGAGCCCACGACGGGCGGACGATCCCCGGACGGGCGGGTCGGGCGGGTGGGACATTCAAGCGGGATGCCTGAGCATGGCGAGAGCGCGATTCCGAAGTAAATTGTGACGGCGTCCTTGGCGCAGCGTGTTTCCTGAGCGTCGAAAGCGCGATTTCTGAATACATTGCACGGAAGTCACAGGCGAGAGCGCAATTCCTAAATCAAATGTGACGGGTTCTCTGGCGGGAGCAGGGGTTTGGATTAAATTCTGAGAAAGTCTTGATTCAATTGCGAGGAAGTTGATTCAATTGCGAGGAAGTCTCAAGCGGGAGCGCCGTTCCTGAGTAAACTGTGAGGAAATCTTAGATGGGAGCGGGGGTCCTGATTAAATTGCGAGGAAGTCAAGGGCGGGAGCACCGATCCTGAGTAAATTGTGAAGAAGTCTCAGGCGGGAACGGGGTCCTGACTAAATTTGGAGGAAGTCTCAAGCGGGAGCCGTTGTTGTTGTTGTAGTACTCCGGGGGGCCATGTGCACAATTTGAGCATGAAGATTTTCCCAGTCAAATCAACAGGGTGCCAGCGTCGAGGGGCTCACTTTGATTGAGAAAAAACAGCATGCACCACTGAGGGGGGATCAGCAATAATTATTTTTCATAAATGAGAATTCAACATCAACAACAACATCAACATGAACAGCAGCAGCAGCAGCAGCAACAACAACAACGCAACAAACAGAATTCTCACCACGAGTTCCTTTTTCAGCCACTCACCCAGGGACAGTGAATGACCGTTCGGCCCCCTCACTCTGATGTTTATGTCACACTTCGTGCACGTAGTAAGGGCACCCTCCTTCCCCCCCCCCGTGCGTCGCCCCTCCGTAAGAATCCGCGCCCTAAAGCGGAGAGGGGGGCAGGCGGGCGGCTGCTCACGGACAAGCCGCCGTGCGGAGGCCTCGGCTGGTCCTCGCGGGTGGTGCTTCCGGGGCGGGGCGGTCCGCACGCGGGGCGCCCTGGGGGCCAGCCGCAACGGGTTCGGGGCGCTGCGTTTCCCGGCATGGGGGAGGCGGGAGGGAAGGGGGGATGGATGGGGGAAGGGGGGGGGAGGAGGAGGGGGAAGAGGAGGGGGAGGAGGAGGAGGAGGAGGAGGAGGAGGAGGAGGAGGAGGAGGAGGAGGAGGAGGAGGAGGAGGAGGAGGAGGAGGAGGGGGAGGAGGCGGAGAAGGAGGACAAGGGGGATGCGTTGGAGAAGGAAGAGCGCATGGGCGGATGGAGAGGAAGGAGAAGGAGCAGGAGCCCCGGGACACGAATGAAGAGGAGGACTGGGAGAGACAACAGGAGCAGGAGGCTGAGGCGGAAAATGGACTCAGGAGACAGGAGGGAGGAGGCCTGGGAGGAGCGTGCGGCGCAGCAGCTCGGAGCATGAGCAGGGGCAGGAGAATCGTGGTGTGTAGCAGGTGCGCAGGACAGCTTGCCTTTGCAAAATCCATCCGCTCTCCTGTGTGACCTCCCGAGAGAGAGATACAGCCCTGCACAGGAGAGCCTCGTCACGGTCAAGTGTGGCCGCCACACGGCGCGCGGCTTCTCCAATTGCGGACCATGGAAGAAGCGCTCACCCAGCGTCGGTCAATGTTCGGCCCTGGTGCCAGCTTCGGGCCATCGTTGGGTCGGGCATGTCCTCCTACAGGTGGATGTTGGGCGACAAATGAAAGAGTAGTCAAATTGTATTCAACAATAGTCGAAGACTAGTCGAGAAATCGTCCCCAGACTGTTTTTTACTATGTTTGAATATTCCTCCTGTAGAGGAACATGCCCGACTTACGGCGATCGCCGCCCCGCTTGCAGATTTGCCCTGGGCCTGCATGCAGGGTTCACTCGCCGATCTCGACGCTGTTGGGGCCAGTTGCATGCCCATCGTCGTTACAGTGCATGCCCAGCGAGCCAGCAGGTCTAATATCGGCTCCGACAGGAGAGGATGGGGAGTGGGAGGGCGAGAAGGGAAAGGAGGAGCATGACGGGGACCTGGACCTCTGAGGTGGTTTCTTTGTTTTGCGACGTAGGCCGTCGTACTTCTGGACCTCGTCCCGAGACAGTTTCGTCGCTCCTTATGGCTCCCGGCCGCGTACAGGGTCCGTGGACGGCCCCCACTGGATTGCCTGGATTGGCGCTGAACCGCCCCCCCCCCCTGGCGGCGCGTCTGGCGCAGTCCCCGGCGCGCTCCTCGCGCCGGGAGGAGCGGTCCTGCGCCGGTCCAGGAAAAGCAAATTCGCGCGGACCACACTTTCGAGCTTCTGTGCTCACCCGTCGGTCGTTGAAAGCGTGTATATATAGACAGATCTGGGATGCCCAAGTCCCAGTCTACTTTAGAAGGCTTCCTACTTCAAGAGTCGAGCGGTTTCCCCTCTTTCCTCCTCTCCAGGGGGCGGGCGGAGGCCCAATCTACTTCCAGCGCCTTCCTGCTTAATGTTTCTACCCAGTTATTCCCACCGACTGGAATGCAGTTGTCCTGTCTGGTATACCTAGAACTTTGTTCATGCAGGATGATGGTTCAGAAATTACTGGGGGTCGTGTTCACGCGGCGGCGCCAGGGATGACGATTAGAAACACGGGACCTCGGCTGGGACAGTGTTTTGTAATCGTTTCCCCCCGCCTTCATCGGGAGCGCACTTCGACAGTCGACGGTCCAGACTGAGCCGATGCGAAGCGGAAGCCGAAAATTCGAATCTTAATTCGTTGTTTACCATATCCCAAGGATGAGGTTCTTGTTACGACCGCGCCGACTCCTCACACCTCCTCCTCCTCCTTCTCCTCCTGTTCCTTCTTCTCCTCCTCCTCCTCCTCCTCCTCCTCCTCCTCTCCTTCCTCGCTACTTACTCAGTGTCACTCGGAGTCACACATAGGATAACTACCCACGTTATGATATGATGATGAGGATGATGACGACGATAATGATGATGCTGCTGATGATGACGATAATGCTGATGGTGTTGATGATGATGATGATGATGATGATGATGATGATGATGATGATGATGATGATGATGATGATGATGATGCAGATGATGATGAGGATAAGGATGAGGAGGAGGAGGAGGATGTGGATGATGATGATGATGATGATGATGTTGATGATGATGCTGATGATGCTGGTGGTGATGATGATGATGATGATGATGATGATGATGAAGATGATGATGATGATGATGATGATGATGATGATGATGATGATGATGATGATGATGATGATGATGATGATGACGAAGCAGGTTTGAGGATATCTCCGGCGCGGCGCTGGTTTTCGCACCCCCAAGGGGCGCCAAGGGGAACTGACCCCTCCGTTCGCGCTCGAATTGTGGGGATGTCTGGAGCGGTTTGCTTGTTTGCGTGCCCAGCCCTTTCCGTTTTCGGAGCAGGGTTGAACGATGTTTCGGGCGAGGCGCTAGTTTTCGGTCACCCAAGGGGGGGGGGGGGGGGGGGGACCCCAGGGGGTATTCCGTTCCTCCGTTCGCACCCAGATTGCAGGGATGTCTCAAGCGGTTTGCCCGTTTGCGTGCCCAACATCTTCCGCTTTCGGACCAGATGTTGAGGATGTCTCGAGCGAGGCGCTGGTTTTCGCACCCCAGGGGGCCCATATTGCAAGGATGTCTCCGTCTCCGGCGGTTTGCTCACAGGCCTCGAGCGAGGTGTTGGTTTCAGCCTTGCCCCGGGGGGGCCAACTGGGTATATTTCACTTACCCGTTCGCGGCCAATGGGAACATATTTCAGGTGGATTGTTTGCTTGGTGGTTTTGTTTTTTTCTTTTCAGATCCTCATAGTCGCCGCGGTAAAGCAATCGTATCATGCATGTGGGCACCACGAGGAGGAGCCGCCAGGAAGGGGGACACTTGGCCAGGGAAGAGGAGGGAGAAGGGAGATCGGAGGAGGAGGGAGGAGGAGGAGGACGCAGGTGTGGGGGGGGGATAGCCACCAGGGAGGAGGAGAAGGAGGAGGAGGAGGAGGAGGAGGAGAGAGGACGGCCTAGCACGAAGGAGGACGCAGGAGGGGAAGGAAAGAGGTGTCTCTGTGCCGCCCTCTTTCCTCTGTCTTCACGCCCGCTCCCTCTCAGCTTCTGCATACTCAGAGCCGCTCGCTCCCATGATCAGACCACTCGGGCCCATATACACCTGCGTACACTAAGCTCAGTCATACTCATATTCATACGCAAAGACCCACTCACACTGAGACTTACTCATGCTCTCTCAGACTCGCTCGCACTCAGGCCCACCCGCACTCAGACTCCCATACTCAGCCCACTCATACCCAGACTCTCTCGTACCCAGACGCTCGCAGCGGAACGTGCCAGGAAACTAGATGCACATAAGGGAATCTCCGCGTCGAGTAACCCGTCTCCCCCACAGTGTTTTACGAACCGTTATCGTCCATTAGGTACAGCCTTGGGGCGCACCATGAAAAACGAGTCTGTCTGAAGACGTTCTGGCTTGAGCTATCTTGGGGGCAGGCAGTCGGGAGTGCGGGTCCGAACAGGTTTAGCCGATGACTTTCTCTCAGAGGCTTGCCGCGGCATGGAAGCGGCATGCGTTCGTTCTAGGTTCTTGCGCCACCGGGTGCAAGACCAGCATCGCCGACATACTTGTCCAAAAGCAGTACGAGGGCAAGAAAGAGATCGATTGGAAAAGAAATTTCGTCTTCACATCGTTTGGGCTCTTCTATTTGGGCGCCTTCCAATACGTTCAGTACACAATCTGGTTCCCTCGGTTTCTCCCAGGGACACACTGGACGGACGTTGCTAAGCGAGTCTGTTTCGATCAGACTATCAACACCGGCGTGTGGTACTATCCTTTGTTCTACGTGGTGCAGAGCATGGTGATGAACAGTGCTTTCGACCGGCAGCGCGCTGAGGAGGGTTTACAGCGATACCGCAATAACATTGTCGCAGACATGTGTAATTGCTGGCAGCTTTGGATACCCGCCCAGTCGGTTAACTTCAGCATTGTGCCAATTCACCTGCGCGTGCCCTTTGCAGCAGGAGTGTCCTTTGTGTGGAGTTGCATACTTAGCGCACTCCGCGGTAACATGACAGTGCCCAACACCGAGGCTGATCTCAAGTGCGTCCCGCTCAAGCAGGTCGCCGAGCCCAGACCATGCCCCGGTGGACTTGACAGTGACGCCCCGCTTGTCCTTTCCAGCATTCCCCTAGTGCCGGGGGCAGCAACGTGATGATGCAGCCACCAAGCTTGATCACGTCGTTGGCCCGCCACACGCAGTGGTCTGGTGCAAGGACTCCCTCGCATGGCTTGCCCATGAAACAGTTCTGCTTCCGCGTGTACGCATGTATGTGCGCGATGCTATGAGCCAGAGGGCAGAAATTTACAATGGTATCCAATAGTGACCTGCATGTTGTCATGAGGCGCGCCTTGACGCAACATTCTGATTTTCCATGGCGGAATTCCCACATGTACATAGCAGTAGTCTTCCAGCTTTTCGCGGTCTGCAACCATTGCGTTGACACTCAGACCCCATCTCATGTAGCGACTGGCTATCATTTTAATTCACGCACGACCCTCACGGGGCACCTGTTGAGCCGCTGAATCACATGGGCATTTCTTCTATACAGTACTTGCAGCGTGACTTATCCAGCGTCTCCATGCCTCTCCCGCGGCGGGTTCAGCTTGGACAGGACGACTTGTCCCACATCTCGCTCCATCTGCTCGCACACATGCTACAATTGCAACTGCTGCGAATATTATTCGACTTCTGTCTGGTCTATGTTCACTTCGCTGGTATAGAGTACCAGCGCGCTGATCTACAGAGTATCGGCGGGTGAATGCTGCAACAGACCTTGCCATGACCATGCGCTCTCCAGATGATCGGCAGCCAATGTATGTACCACATACCCTCTGACCAGAATCGAGCCTACGGCGAACCACCGCCCATGCCCTGTTCTTGCGAAGGCGTACGCGGCCAATCGTTTGGCCGAAGTTTGGCCAAGCTATTGGAACATGTGTTCCTCCAGCCGGTGTGGAAACCCAGGGGGGGGGGGGGAAACACGTTGGGGAGGACGAGGAGGAGAGAGATGAATACAAGAACGAAGAGGCGGAGGAAGAGGAGGAGGAGGAGGAGGAGGAGGAGGAGGAGGAGGATGCCTCTTAGACGCCTCTTGGGGGCCACTTGGGGCCACCAGTAGCCGTCGTGGAGCAATCTTGGGGCGTCTTTGGGCCATCTTTGGCCATCCAGGTCGTCGTGGAGGCTGTCTCAGCCCATCTTGGAGGCCATAAAGGGCCATTTGGATCGATTTTGAGGCCATCTGGAGCCGTCGAGGGACCTTCTTCTTGAGCCGTCTTGGGTCTCCCTTGGGGGCTTCTTGAGGACCTATTGGGCCGACTTCTGTCGATTTTGGGGGGTTGTTGGGCCGTCTTGGCCATTGTTGAGCCCGAACAGGCGAGAATGCCGGAATCCTTTAAGAAGAGGAGAATCAGTGAGTTGAAGGCTCTGTGAGACCGCTCTCGGGGCGTCTTCGGGGCCTCTTTGGGCCGCCTTGGAGCATCCTATGGCCATTTTGGCAGCCTTGGAGTCCGTCTTGGACCGTGTTCGCCATATACGGGAACCATGGCCATCTTGGAGGCCATCTTGGGCGCCATGGAGACACATGAAGGTCCGTTAAGTATGTGTGTGTTCGGGTGGCCGTCTGGATGCGCCGAAGGCTGTTGGGAAATATTTGGAGTGACCGAGCAGAATCCAAAGGTCTGACACGCACAGCACCCCTCTGGCAAGCCAAAGGGGGCGGCCGATCGAAGACGCTTACGGCGAGTCCCAGCCGCCACCCGCCTTTCTGGAAATGCCGATGTGGCCAAACGATGGACGAAAGCGTGGCTAAGCTATTGGACCATGCGTTTCCCCAGCTGGTATGGAAATTCTTGGTGAGACATGTGGGGGCGGAAGTTTCGGAGGGTCTATGAGGAGAGGGAGGTCTATGAGGAGAGGGAGGAGGAGGAGGAGGAGGAGGAGGAGGAGCAGGAGGAGGAGGAGGAGGTGAAGGAGGAGGAGGAGGTGGAGGAGGAGGAGGAGGAGGAATGGGAGGAGGTCGCCTGGTGGCCTCATTGGGGCTCGTGGCGCCCCTCCTGGGGGGTCTCTTGGGGATGCCTTTGAGGGCTCCTCGGCCTCTACGAGAACTCTTGGCCTTCGGTTGCCGTCTTGAGTCGCTGGGCTTTCTTGGGGCGCTTGAAGGCCGTCTTGGAAGTCTTTGGCGCCGTCTTCAAGCCTTCGGGGGGCCGTCTCGGGGCGGTCTTGTCCTGTCTTTGAGGTGTTGTTTGGGTTTGGCTTGGGGCCGTCTCCGGCTGTCGGGAGCCCGAAAAAGGCGAGGACGCCAAAATCCTTCAACGCCCAAAGGGAATGTCAAAATCTTTCAAACCTTTTAGGGAGATGTGTAATTTGAGCTTCTTCGGGCCTAGCCCCTTTTAGCCCTATTGGGCAGTAGCAGGGGGCCCCCAAGGCCGTCTTGACGCCAGCTGGGCCCGATTTGGAGTCATCTTTGGCCCGTTTGGGTTCGTCTTGGCCGAGGAAGGAGGCTATCGAGGCCGTCTGGGAGATCATGTTGGACCGTCTTCGGCGTTTTGAAGACACTCTTGGGACCATCTTGGGCGGGAAAGCCGGCAGAGACCCCTAAGAGGGCCCAAGAGGCCCCCGAGACCACACCTCTAGATCACCTTTGTGGTTTAAAGCTCCCACCACGCTCCCGAAGCCGTTATGACAAGTCGCGCGGAAGTTCCCGGGGAGTGCGTGAGAGCGCCCAAGGGCCCCCAGATCACGGGGGGCAGGAGCCCGTTGACCACATGTCTGCAATGTTCGATATAACACAATGACGCTTCGCGGGTCCCCGCCAGCCCATCCAAAATCTAGGGGCGATCTTGAGGCCTCTTGGGAGCCAACACCTGTGAAGCACCAGTTCTAGTTTCAATGAGGTCGATTTTGAGAGAGGGCTGGGGTTCGTGATTCTTGACGGTTCGCGTATTCCTGTCAGCCCATTCAAAAACAGATGCCAGGCGAGTTGCCCGGATCAGGGGTGTGTAGCAGGACGCCAAAGACGACGATGTGAACGTCTAGAACTACGACTGCGAATAATGGATTACGACTACGAGGGGGATCCACTCAGTGAGCGACGACAGGCAACCATTCAACCCAAGCAGCCACTTGCTCTTGGTGCGTTTGAGGAGTGGCGTGCGCGTCATCTCGTGCGTGTAGCAGCTCCTCGTGTTTGTCCTGTCTGAGTGGTTGTTTGTCGTTGTCTGAGGTGCCTGTATGAATTACGCCGTGCGTGTCCGGGGCCGCCGCCGCCGCCGACGACGACAGGAGTCAATAGCAAAGCCATTGCGATCTTTCGCCCCGGGAGCGTCTTGGAGGCCTCCTGGGGCCACCGTGGGGCCCTTTTGGGGCCATCTCGGAGGCCTCTTGGGCCCTCTTGGGTCTTGGTGCCCTCTCGGAGGCCTTGGCCTTGAAGGCCCTCTTGGGGCCGTCTTGGTGGCCATCAATGAAAAGAGGGTAGGGTACTCGGTCCCCCCGTCTGGGCCCGACAAAGATCGACACGTATCGCCGTCTGGGCGGTCAAGTGCGCTCTTCGGGCCGTCTTGGGCCCTCCTGAGCCCTTTTGGGGGCCATCTTAGAGCCATCTTGAGACATCAAGAAGAGCCCATCGGAAGCGAAAAGGCGGCAAACAACCATTGAAGCAACAAGCATTGGTTTCGAAGGATTGTGGCTTCCTGTGGGCCTCTTGCGAGGCACGGAGGGCACACGGGGTCCTTCCTTGCCCGTCTTTCGGGCTCTTGGAGGCATGTTGGAGGCTACCTTGAAGTATTTTGTTATGTCTTGAGCGATCTTGGAGGTCATCTTGGATCTTGGCCTCTCTGGGGCCCTCTTGGAGCCACCTGTGGCCAAAAATGGCCCTCTGACACCGCGGGGCGGGGTCAGGCCTGGGGGGAGGGGAGAGGGAAGGAGGAGGGGGAACCCCGTCCCCGACGGGGAAGAACGGGGTTAGGAGGATGAGCTCCTTAGATTATTCACGCCCTCGAAGGCTTGTGGGGTTAAGGTCGCCCATGTTGAGCCTGAACAGTCGTCTAATCGGGCCCTCTCGGAAAGCTCCCGTGGGTCTCTTATGCGCTAGGGCCGTGTTGGAGCCCTAGTAGGCCCCTCTTGGGGCTCTCTGGGGCCATCTTGAAGCCATCTTGAGGCATTGGATGGTCGTCGAAAGCGAAACAGCGAAAATGCCAACACCATGTCTGTGTGTGTGTGTGTGTGTGTTCCCTCAGGGGTGGAAAGGGCTTGGGCCTTTGGGAGGGGGCATCACTGGGAGGCTCCGTGGTCGCTGGGAACCGTCTCGGAGGGATCTTTGGGGGTTTGGGAGCATATCCGAAGCCATCTGGAGCGATCTTGCGTTCTCTGATTCCATCTTGGAGGCAATCTTGGACTGTTTTGTACCATGTTGGAGTCATCTTGAGCCAAAACAGCGACCCTTTGACACCTCGCGTCCCCCACCCGTCCAGACCCGGGGTGAAGGGGGGAAAGGGGAGGGGGCAAGCTACCCCGAAGGACGACCGCAAACCGACCTGCTCTTTCCCACCCGCCCTTCCGCCAAGTAAGTAACACCCGAGTCTCACTGCCGGGTGCGCCAGTACACGCGACTGCCTGCACTCATCGGGCAACATGATGCCCCCCCATCCAGCATACCCGCAATCATTTTGCTCCGACTTTTGACAAGAATAGTGGGCTTGCGCGCGCCAGAACAGCTGCTGGCACCATACCACCCCTGTCAACAACAACGCGAAGAGATCGCGATGCCCCTGCGCAGGGTCCAAGGTTCTGCCGCCGAGAGAATGTGGCAGCGGTTTTTGACCCAGGTTGGTGGGCCTGCGCGCACCAGGCAATAGACTGCCCCCCCTCGCCAGTCCTGTCCCAAAGCGACGTGCTGTGATCGCGGTCCAGCATGTTGTCGCCAAGTGCAGCTTGTATTGTTCAAGAGGCTTACGCCATGCCGCCGACCCCCAGAGGGAGCCGTTGGCGGAACTCTTGCCGACATGGCGGAGGATTCCTTGAAGGGTGAATCTACGACGCGGGGCGAGGAGGACAGGGAGGGAGGAGATGAGTCATGAGGGCGACAAAGAGGAGGAAAGTACGGAGAGGAAAATGGGGGACGAGAAGGATGATGACGACGACGACGACGAGGGTTCGACTCGCGAAGCACCGTCTGAGATGGCGGAGGAAGTTGGACAGGGTGTAGCGGCGACGCAGGAGGGGCGGGGCGAGAAGAGGAGGGGGGAGAGGAGGACGAGAACGAGGAGCGGGCGTAGGAGGGGGAGGAGGATGAGAAGGAGGAAGACACAGGAGAGAGAGAGAGAGAGAGAGAGAGAGAAAAGAAACTGACGACGATAATGCAACTCCCGAAAAGGTGAGAGTTTGCGACGATTGCGAAAGTGATGCAGTGGGTCATGGGCCTCATGGATTCATATGGGGGGTCTGGGGTGTTTCGGAGGGGCATCTTGGAGAGCTCTTTGTGGAATTCGTTGGGTTGTTGAGGCTTCTTGGGGGCCTATTGGAATACTTTCGTGGCTTCTTGGGGGCTTCGTGGAGGCCTCCTCTTTGTGGAATGTGGTGGGTTTGTAAGACTTCTTGGGGGCTTCTTGAGGTTCCTTTGGGGCTTCTTGGCGGCTTCTTGGAGGCCTCTTGAGGCCTCTTGTGGGGGTTCTTTGGATCATACGGGATACTCGAAATGTCAGTTCGAATTTTCCCTCGTATACCCCTCTCAGGGCCCTCCTGGGCCGTCTTTGGGGCCGTCTTGGGGCGTCTTGGGTCATTCTTGGGGTGGCTTGGGCTTTTCTTGGGGGCCTCAGAGGCCGCCTTGGGGCGATCTTTGGGTCCCCTTGGGCAGTCTTGGGCGCTGTCAAGACGAAGAATGCAAGTATGCTAACAAAAATGATTCATAAAGAAATGGGGCGTTTTTTTTGCGTCCTGGGGCCCTCTCGGCGGCCCTCTGGGAACACTCTTGGGCCGACTTGAAGCCTCGTGGGCCGTCTCGAAACCATCTTAGACCGTCGTGGGGCTACCCTTGGCCGTATCGACGCTCTCTTGGACTAGTTCGGCGCTCTGTCTTGGCCCCTCTGGGCCGTACTGGGGCTTCTTGAGGACTCTGGAGGCACCGGGAGAGGCGCTGACGAGTTCCCGGGGGGGGGGCCCCTTCAAACGGGAGTTTGGACCCCAGGGGAGAGGTAAAGGGTGAGGGGGACAGCCAAGTGTTTCACACGCATTTTCACCCCTGGCAAGCGGGGGTCGGCGGATTAGTTCTATTCTTGTGGGTGGTGGCGGGATCGTTGTGGATCCTGGTCGGCCGCCGGTCGAGTGGGGGAGGGTGTGTTCGTAACAAGGCGCAGTGGTGAACCCCTCATCAGCCCAAGCGGATTGGGGGGACCAAGCGTCCACTAAGCGCCTACGGCACCGTGGCGGATGTGTGTGCGGAGTCACGGGTTGCTGGTTTTGGCTAGACGATCTTTTCTGGCTCATAGCAATGACATCGGGATACTTGAATTTGTGCTACATGGATCAAAACAGGAAGTCTGAGCGAAGCGTGCCTGTCGATGTTGTTGCCGGCTGCTCAAACACATTTCGGTCACATGTCCAAGTTCGGAATTTTGAGGAGTGCTTGAGCGAGTGCCACAGAACATGTCCGTGCGCAGTTATGACCATTGCTGGCCATGATGAGATGGCTAGGACAATCGATTCCCAGTGCCGCTCAGGCACAGTTACTGATTTGTTCCCATAACTTCGGTGATTCCCAGGATTGCCGAAAAGTTGTATCCACAATGTTTCAGAGCGCGCGCGGTAGAGATAGGGGGGCGTAACGAGGAGTTCAGGGTTGCAGAGGCGGTCAGCGACGACGGATGAGTGGGAAGAAGAGGAGGGGGAGCAGGAGGAGGATGTACAACATGAAGGGGAGGAGAATTGGAGGAGAGGTGGGATGGGGAGGAGGACCTTCAGAGCAACGTGAGGGGGATGTGCGCCATTGAAGGGAAGGCCTGGGAAGGCAAGCCGTGACTTGCCAGATGGGGGCATCAGAAAACGAGTTCAAACGATATTGCAGACATCTGTGAATTCGTATACCGGATCCCGTCTTGAACGAGAACAAGACATGGCCTAGGCGGTCTTCTCAGAAGACGGCGCCGCCTGGGGCCAGACCCCCCCTTCCACCTATGCCGCCTCCTCGCCTACGCCATCCTCGCTCTCCCATCGGAGGAGGACAACGATACAGATCCACTTCGTTCTCCCCCCTCCACTTTCCCCAAAAGGAGGAAAACTTTCTGAGGAGGAGAGGGGAGAGAGGAGGAAGGAGGTGGATCTGTAGAAACGTATTATCCTTGCGGCCGGTGCCGCCGACCCTGGAACTGGAGCAGCCCGCAGGCTGTCACGGCATGAGCCATGCCCGCCTGCCCCGGCGGCCAGGCGCTGCACCTCGCCTCCGAGCGGGGCTGCGTGGAGGCGGTGAAGGCGCTGCTCGACCACACCAGGGCGGGGGCCTCGTTTCCGCCGCCCCGCCGGAGCGGGCCCTCGCGTCGTCGTCGCGGTCGTGGTCGTCGTCGTGGGCGTCGTCGTGGTCGTCGACGTCGTCGTCGTCGTCGTCCGTCGTCGTCGACGTCCGTCGTCGTCGACGTCCGTCGTCGTCGTGCTCGTCTTTGCCGCCGCCGTGGTCGTCGTCGTGGTCGACGCCGCCGCGGCCGCCGCCGCCGTTGTCTATCGCTGTCGCGGCCGTTGCCGTTTGTCGTGGCCGTCGCGCGCGCTCCGCGCGCCCCGCCTTCGCTCGCTACCCCAGCGGGGACGGGCTGAGATCGGATCGTCACCGTCGTGGTCGTCGTCGTCGTCGTCGCGGTACTCGTTTTCGTGGTCGTTGTCGTGGTCGTCGTCGTCGCCGTCATTGTGGCCGCCGTGGTCGTGACCTTCTGCCGTGGTCGTCGCACGCGCCGCGTGCTCCCACTTCGCCCGCCATCCGAGGGTGCGGGGGGGACATCGCACACAGGAAGAGGAGGAGGGAGGGGGAGGACGGAGGAGGAGCCGGGGAGAATATCACTCTGGAGTTTCGTCGCCCAGAGGCCGTATGCGGGAGCCGTGGGGCTAGTCAAATCAGAACGACTCGGGATGAAAGACCAGGGTTGGGAACTTCTGGGCCGGCGTCCCCTTTGTAGGGCCTAGTCGTGAAACAGTGATCAGAGATGTTGCAGCACACCCTCCCGTTTCAAGTCCCCTCCCCATTAATCGAAGACGCCTACGGCGAATCACCGCCGCCCCCCGCATTTTTGAGTCGCCCATGTGGCGGGAACATTGGGGGGAGGATGGCGGGGGAGATCAGGAGGAGAAGGAGAAGGAGGAAGGGGTATCTTGGGAGCCTCTGGGGGCACTCTGGGAGCCTCCTGGGAGCCTCCTGCGAGTCTCTTGGAGGCATCTTGGGGTCCTCCTTGGGCCTCTTGGCGGCCTTTGGGAGCTTCTCGGAGGATTAATTGCCCGTCTTAGGGCGTTCCTCGCCCGTCTGACGCCGTCGGAAGCCGTCTTGGGGGCCTAGCTCTGCCGACTTGGGGCCCTATTGGGATGCTCCAGGGCCGGCTTGGAGGCCATCTTAGGCGTCTCGGAAGCCTCTTGGGCCGTCTTGAGGCCCTCTTGGGGCCGTTTTGGGGGCCTCTTGGGCCGTTCTGGGGCCATCTTGGAAGCCTCTTGGGCGATCTTGGGGCGATCTGTGGGGCCTCTTGGGTCGTCTCGGGCCGTCGGAAGACCGAAAAGAAACAAATGCTAAGATCCTTCAACAACGTAACGAGAATCAATGATTTTGGCCTCTTCGGCCCTTCCTGGAGGCCCTCTTGGGAGCCTCTTGGGGGCCTCTTGGGCCGTCTTGGACCATCTTCAAGCCATCTTGGGCCGTCTTGGGTGCATCTTGGGCCGTCTTGAGTGTACATTGGGCCGTCTTGGGCTCTCGTGTGGCCGTCTTGGCAGTCTTGGAGGCGTCTTGGACGCATCGTGGAGGCCATCTTGGGCCATCTTGGCCTTCTTAGAGGCGGTCTGGGCAACGGGAGACAACCTTTGGGAATCTTTCCGGGTGGCCGGCGCGCTGGGCCGAAGCCCCAGGGGGAGCTCTTTCGGAAAGCCCAAAACCAAGCCGAGTATAGGATTCAGCACGCCAGGCACCCCTATGACAAGCCAGCAGGGGGCGGCGGATCTCTGCAATGATGTTCTGGTGCTGCGCAGAGCGCCCCTCTGGAAAGGCAAGCGTCCCATGGGCCCGCCATTCATGCGGGAGCTCTGGTTTGGAAGACGTTGCCCTCCATCCTTCTGGCTGCCGTGTGACAAGGTGGGGCCATAGTGTGCGAGGACATGCGAAGCGAAAGCCTATCTTGTTAGAGGAGCCTTTTTCATCCATGTAGCTGTAGCACATAGACTATAGTTCTGAAAGTACATATAACGAGGTCCCCAGCGAGAGTTCCATTTTGAACAAGTGCTTCCGTCTGTGTAACTGCTGCACGATTTTTCATTCGCGGCACGAAATCGTGAGGACGTCTCGGGCGAGGGGCCCACTTTAAAAGGAGCTGACCACCCCGAACGATTTACAGATCCTCAGTATGGGACGGCCGTCAGCAGTAAGACCCCCCCGCTTTACTCCTCTCGCTTCCTTCCGTCTAACCCAGAATGATTCACTATCAAACCCACACTGAGGCTCACTCATACCCAGACGTTCCCATACTCCCATTCCCATACCCAGACCCACTTATACCTAGACTTCCTCGCACTCGGACCCAGTCATTTTCAGCCCCGCTCACACTCAGACTCAGCTGTGCCCAGTCAGCCGTGCTCCGTCTCGCTCACAATCAGACTAGCTCGTGTCAGACAATGTCAGAGCAGGACACGCGTGGAAACTGATGCCCCCCCCCCGCGTCGAGTATGCTTCAGACGACTGCGCGCGGCGCAAAGGCCATATTTGGAAATCACTCCACCCTCCACCCGTGCAACTCCTGGCACATGTTGAAGACAGGCGTAGGGCGCCGAGAGACTCATTTTGAAAGCCAGTCGCCCTCCATTCCGCCCGTTACCCGCGTAAGGGCTGGAAGTTTCAGACCTCTGGCGAAACGCCCGGCCCGCCCCAAACGAAGCGCATGTTGGTGCGACAGGGGCGGTCATTGGCAGGGAAGGAATGAAAAGGGCATGGGAGCGAGGAGGGTAATATCTAGAAGGGCGAAGGAGGAGCAAAGACCGATGGAGGGGGACGAGGAGGGGGAGGGGAGCGAGAATTGTTTGGGCTTGTGTTTGGTGCTCGAAGAGAGCGCTCGTCGCCACGACGTGCGTTCGACTCGGAATCCAAGCCCAGGTCCGATATTGAGGAGAGGCGGAGGAGGAGGAGGAGGAGGAGGAGGAGGAGGAGGAGGAGGAGGAGGAGGATTGGATACGTCCGAGGAGGAGGAGGGGAGGAGGAGAGGAGGAGGAGGAGGAGGAGGAGGAGGAGGAGGAGGAGGAGGAGGAGGCCGCGGGGAGGCTTGCGGGCCCTCTGAGCCCGCTGGGAAATTCAAATTTTCATGTTTGTTTCTTGGTGCCCGCGGTCTCGAACCGCGGAAGAGGGACCCCAGGGGTCAGGGGAGATTTCTCTCGCCTGCGTGGTCCCTTTTAAAGAGGTGGCGAAGTAACCTTCGGTTGCGCCTCAGGTGGGCGCGCAGGAGGAGGAGGAGGAGGAGGAGGAGGAGGAAGAGGAGGAGGAGGAGGAGGAGGAGGAGGAGGAGGAGGAGGAGGAGGAGAAAAGGAGGAGGAGGAGGAGGAGGAGGAGGAGGAGAGGAGGAGGATTGGATACGTCCGAGGAGGAGGAGGGGGAGGAGGAGGAGAGGAGGAGGAGGAGGAGGAGGAGGAGGAGGAGGGCCGCGGGGAGGCTTGCGGGCCCTCTGAGCCCGCTGGGAAATTCAAATTTTCATGTTTGTTTCTTGGTGCCCGCGGTCTCGAACCGCGGAAGAGGGACCCCAGGGGTCAGGGGAGATTTCTCTCGCCTGCGTGGTCCCTTTTAAAGAGGTGGCGAAGTAACCTTCGGTTGCGCCTCAGGTGGGCGCGCAGGAGGAGGAGGAGGAGGAGGAGGAGGAGGAAGAGGAGGAGGAGGAGGAGGAGGAGGAGGAGGAGGAGGAGGAGGAGGAGGAGGGAGGAGGAGGAGGAGGAGGAGGAGGAGGAGGAGGATACGTCCGAGGGAGGAGGAGGAGGAGGAGGAGGAGGAGGATTGGATACGTCCGAGGAGGAGGAGGAGGAGGAGGAGGAGGAGGAGGAGGAGGAGGAGGAGGAGGAGGAGGAGGAGGAGGAGGAGGGGGGACAAGGGAACCGCGATGGCGAGAAGGACCTCCACCCTACACCCCAGCTTCCTGCCACCTCCTGCCGCAGGCCGCCCGTCGGCCTGCCGTGATGCCGTTCGCGGCCTACCTCCCCCACTCCGATGGACCTGGCATCGCTTGGACGCGTTTTTTTTTCCTCGGCGAGGACCATCGAGGGGCATTCTGGATCAGTATGCGAGACATCAAGCACACGAAACCGAACAACTGCACGGGGCATGGACGTCCGGGCGATGGCAAGTGATCTGCATGATCGGAGTCATGCTCCACCCTCCCTTCCCCGGCGAGGGCCGGGGAGGGAGGGAGCAGCCAAAGCCCCAGTCTCGAGCGGACAGACCTGCACAGCCACAGCTTGTAGCTCAGAGGAGGAAGAGGAGGAGGAGGAGGAGGAGGAGGCGGAGGAGGAGGAGGAGAAGGAGGACCAGTGTGAGCCCAAGACTCATCAACGATGTTAGAATAAACCCTCCCGCCGATCACCCTCTTCATAGGCCCCTGCAAGGGTCCCGTTCCACCGAGGAAAATGCCTCGTTGGGAGACAACTGTTTGGAGACCCTGAAGCATGCCAACACACCATCTCGCGACTCCAACGCCACGGATCAACCTGATCGTTGCGTCTTGACGGTCTTGAATCGCGCCCGAACATCATTCTTGGGACTGCAACTCCGCGAGCCAACGTAACTACTGCATCTTTACAGTCCTGAATCCTTCCAACACGCAATTGCTGGTATGCTGGCCAAGGGAATCCGTGAGACTCTTGCACATTGTTGAAACGAATGTGCGCTAAGGCGAGAGCCACATTTGAATAACAACCGCCCTCAATCCGCGAAACTCTTCTACATGTTTAAGACGACTGTGCGCGGCTCTAAGGCGAGAGCCACAGTTTGAAAACCGCCCGCCCTCAATCAGTGAAGCTCTGGTGTTTTTAAGACGAGTGCTGGTGGCTCTAAGGCGAGAGCCACATTAAAAAGTCGCCCGCCCTAAATCCGTGAACCTACTGCAATTGTTAAGACGAGTGATGGTGGCGCTAAGGCGAGAGCCACATGTTGAGAACCACCCGCCCTCCAGTTTTGAAGCCGTTGCCAATGCATAAGCTTCAGGGTCATAAATGATAAGGACATCTCAGTCGAAACGCCCGGCCCGCCCTTTCGACTGGCCTCGGTGTACGACAGCGAGGAGTTATGGAGGAGGAGGTGGAGGAGGAGGAGGAGGAGGAGGAGGAGGAGCCGCACCAGAAGCAGGCTGAATCAGGCGGAACAGGGGGGGAGGGGCAGCGGCAGCGGGCAGTACAGCGGGGAGGATACGGAGCAGCAGCAGTAGCAGGACGATGGGCAGCAGCGGAACGACAGGCAGCGAACGGACGAAGGGAGGAGGGGGGGGGAGGAGGACGAGCAGCGGCAGGGACAGCGGGAAGAGGGGAGGATGTCGAAACTGAGGATACGGAGGAGGAGGAGGAGGAGGAGGAGGAGGAGGAGGAGGAGGAGGAGAAGGAGGAGGAGGACGACGACGACGAGGACGAGGAAGCGGAGGACGAGGGTGAGGACGAGGGGGAAGGGGATGAGGAGGAGGAGATCGACCGAAAGGAGGACGAGCAGGAGGTGCCAGAGGACCAACTGCAGCAGTGGGGGCACGAGGACCCGGAGGAAGATTGAAGGGGTAGGAGGATGAAAGGAGAGGGAGGAGGAAGGATTACGGAGAAAGTAGGGTGGGGGGTGGAGGAGAGTGGAAGCAGGATGAAGGAGACGCGAGGGACGAAGAAGGACGAAGAAACGGGGAGGCAGGAGGAGGGTGGGAGGATGGGGGCAGGAGAAGGGGAGGGGGGAAGGCCCAAAGGCGTCCCAGACTGGCCCTCGTACCCCGAGCCACGATGCTCGTCGAGAGGAGGCAGGGAGGAGGAGGAGGGGCCGCGCAGCCATCCTACGATTTGATGTTCTCAGCCCTCGGGCCACAGCTGTCTCGGCCCCCTTCCCAGGGGCAGCCTATCGCCTCGGATCCACACCCGATGGCACCGAAGAGCGCGCCCCTTCGGAGTCCGAGATCCAGGCAGGCAATAAGCTTTCAGGAAGGGAACATTGACACAGACACCAATAAACGTCGATTTGCAGTAAAGTATGGGAAAGTATTGGATTTGGAGGGGAAGACGAAGTTCCAGAAAGCATGGAAAGATCGTGGAGATCCTGGAACTTGTGCGTGTTAAGTTGTGTCTTCCTGGGCGCCTCCGAGCAAGCACGGCGAGGCCCTGTTGGGAAGGGGGTCGCCGGCGGCTGGGCGCGCGCCTCCCCGCCGCGCTGCGGCCCTCTATGATCCTCAGCGCGTGCGCTGCGTAGCCCGGTGTGCGGGACACTGACAGTGAGGTCTGAGCCCTGTGCTCCAGCACGCACGTACAAGGTCTTTCGGGACTCACGGGGCGGGGTCAATGCAAACGGGGGTCAGCCAGAGCGCCAGGTCTTTCAGGATCCTGCAGAGCCAGGGGTGCACTGACCCGGGCTTGGGTGCAGGATCCTGCAAAGCCCGACTGACCCGTGGTGGGATTTGACCCGGGTCAGCAGGTCCCCGACTGACGGTCTGAGCGTGCTCCGCCTCCCGCGGTTTCCTCCCCCCTCCTCGCCTGTACTTCTCCTGCTGTGCCCAATTCGGCGTCCCTCGGCTGCCCCGGCCGCATCTTAGACCCAAGTCGCCGCGGACAAAAAAGTTTACGGTCAGGAATTGTGGCTTCGCTTGTCGCGTCGCGCCGCCGGTTCTGGCCCCCATGCGCTTCAGCGCAACACGCCGTCCGCGCCGCCCCGGCCCCCAGGCGTCACAACGTCCCGAGTGTTTCCCAGCCTCCCGCCCCGCGCAGCGGAGCGGCACGCTGCCCGCTTGCAGGGCACAGCGTGTCGCCGAGGCCGCCGCCGCGGCACGTCAAGCAAATGTTCCCGACCGTAGCCCCGCGTGCGGGGTGTGCTTCGGGATGCCGCTTCGCAGGGCTCCTGCTGCATCCCGAGGCTGCCAGCACCATGCGTCAGGCGCTGCAGGCTCTGAGTGCGGCTACCTCCTTTCGTCTTCCTCCGCGGCTGCTCGCCTGTTCCTCCATGTCGCACTGAGGCGCAGTTATCTCTGCCGCGTCCCGGCTGCTGCCACCCAGCGCTTCACACATTTGCGTCACCGTTGAACACAAGTCAGCTTTGTTTGTTTGTGTGTTGTGTGTGTGTGTATGTCTCTGCGTGTTGTGTGTGTTTTTGTGTGTTGTGTGTGTGTACCTTCGTGTCTGTGTGCGTGTCTGTGTGTGTTGTGTGTGTGTGTGTTGAGCCCGTTCAGCTCCCCCGATGGTACGCAGCCCAGGTCGGCCTTCACTGCACCGCCTGTGTCGTCTGGAAGGGCTTCGCTTGACAGACACGCCCGATCCCCCGATGACCTCAGGGCGTCTCATCCCCCCATGACCCCAGGGACTCACAGGAGTCCTTGGGGCACCCCACGAAGCGCAGAGCTCAATGAAACGCATGCCCGTAGATTTCTTAGAGAACGATATAATATCGTATGTGTCCACTGCAACCAATTATCGAATGATCATATTAGAGTCCTCCAACCCCAAACATTCGATGTCTTGGTTGTTGTCAACCATCCTGTGGTATCGTGCCATCCCTTTGAAGTGACAGCGCCCCGCGTCTCACTCACTCCGTCCTCCTCCCCATCCTCCCATCCCTGCCTATGTCCTCCGCATGTCCATGTCGGTACACCACTCACACGTTCCGTGGCACCCATAGGGAGCTCCACCACAGGACCCAGTGGGTGCGGCAAGATGCGGCTGCCTGCGCACCGCATGCCCATGTTGGCACACCTCTCACACGTTTCGTGGCCCCGTAAGGAGCTCCACATAAGGTCCCAGTGGGTGCGGCCACACGCCGTTCCCCGCCCACTGCATGTAAATTTCGCCACACCCCTCTGTCGCGTCCTGCCCCGTAGGGAGCCCCACCTGAGGATCCAGCGTTTGCGGCCGCAAACGTCTCCTCGCCAATTCCTGCACACCTCTCACACGTTTCGTGGCCCGAGAATGAGCTCGGCAGAAGACCATATTCACAATTGCGGCACTTAAAACTACATATGGTTGGATCCTTCGCCAGGATAACTGTATACGGGGCCCGTGCAAATCCCAACCCTTTTTCCAGGGCCAGGTGGGTTGTCATCCCGAGCCGTGTTTTGATTGTCCCCAGGTCCGAATCCCACCCCCAGAGGTCGCCGACGACGAACAAGCATCCGTCGTGGTTTGATTCGCGTCGTTGGATGTCTGCGAATCTCGAGTCTCAAGCCTGTCTCTTCGGAACCCGCGGACCCGCGCGCTCGAGGCCGAGGAGAAGCTGGAGTTCCTCAAGACGCAGGAGGACCGGGATCCCGGCCGGGGAAACAGTGGGGAGGCAGTGCGGCGGGCCCCCTGCCGCATTGCCCCCCTCGTGCTGCGTCATCGGGAGGATCGAAAGTATCGTTGAGTCGGGCGTGTCCCTCTGCAGGAGGAATAGGCAAAAATAGTAAAAACAAAAAAATAGTCAGGGGACGATGTTGTTTGTGTGTTTGTGCATTGCTTGAATCTTTGCTGAATGCTTTCCATTTTTCGTCCTGTAGGGGGATATGCCCGACCTAAGAGTATCGAGGGGTCGAAACGGGCGGGGGCTGGGCCGGGATCGGTGCAGGTGTACAGCCACCGTGCTGCCATAGGCAGCGCGCACGGAGGACTGAAGGGGCCCCCCTTTCTGGCCGCGGCGAGCCTCGGCCACTTGTGCCCCCCCCCCCCCCCTGGCCCAGATCTCTGAGGAGCGGCCCGGAAGCCAGAGCCCCTCCTGTGCGGGCAGCAGTTGTATCCACGTCCGGTGCGTCTTGGAGTTTCGGGTTCTCTTCCACAAAAGCCGGAGGCGCACTGGATATGAGTAAGAGTCTGGCCCCAAAAGGCTAGACTTGTATCAATATCCAGTGCGCCTCGGCATTGCGGCAGCACCCCTTCCCAAAAAGTCCAAGTCGCTCTGGATATGGATATAAGTATTGCCCGCGTCCTGAGTTCATGGCGGTCCTCAGTTCAGCGTCTTGACTGTCATGCTAGCTGGTGCCCTTCCAGGAGTCAGCTTGTCTATCCCCTGGCGATGGCGGGCGTGACCCGAGGGGGAGGGAAAGTGAGGAGGGGTCCGGTCACGTCACGATTCGCGCCGGCGCCGTCTGGGAATGCCAAGAATGGTTCATTCCAGGCGGCGCTGGCGCCAATCGTGACGGGACGGGCGGTGGGAGAAGGGGGCGGAGAGGGGCCGGTCACGGGCGCTATCGCGAATGATAAAAAACAGGCTCCAGAGGCAGTTGGTGGCGGGCCTCGACCACGACTGGGGGAAGTGAGGAGGGGCGGCACCGCCACCAGCAGGGGCAGCTCGATCGAGTAGGTGAACGAGCTGGAGGTTGGAGACGTCTCGAGCGGCGATGTCGACCAGCGGCGACGTCACGTAGCACGACCACGAGGGCCTTCCCCTGGATAATCGTGGTGGCGGTGTCCTCTTTCACCGCCCCACCTGCGCAGCGGCGAGGAGGAGGATCCAGGGCCGAGGATCAAGATGTTTTGGTGGTCTTGCCCTTAGACCTCGCCTCCCGGGGCCCCAGAGGCTTCCAGGGAGGGGTGAGCATACGCACCTTGACGCCTCCTCGCCCAGGCGACCGAGACCTTGATGCTTTCAGGATCCAGGCCCCTTTCTGTTATGACAAAAACCATTGCGGGAGGTTTTTGACTATCTTCGTCCTCTGGGGCCCTTTCTGGCCCTCGGGCCCGGCCCCAGGGAGTGGGTCCGGACCGCTGGGAATCCACGGCATGAGAAAATCATGACGTTGGGGGTCGGCACTGGGCTCCTGGAAGTCCTGACCCGTTCCCAGGGCCAGCTTGTCATCCCGAGCGTAGTTTCTTGACAGCCCTGGGGCCGGGCGGGGGCCACCAGAGGCCAAACGCTGCAAACAGCTTCGGCATCGCTCGTGGGCGGCCAAGAGGGGTGGTGATGACTCCAGGGGGGACGGAGGTATGGCCAGGGCCATGAAATCTCATAGGATTTCACGGCCCCCTCTTCTTCTTTCCATGCGCCCCCTGTTTCCCCCCCTTCCCCCCTGAGCCACGCACATGCCTCCGGCCATCCTTTGCGAGCACCCCCCTCTGGACGCCCCCTTCTTGGACACCCCAGGACTGCTTTTGTTCCCGCGTGCGTGGGCGAAAACCATGTCCGCATCTGCGGCCTCGCGGGCCAGGCCACTGGGCCGCGACCCCGCGGATGCGGGGCTTCGCGGACGCCCCGCGCGGAACGTATCTGTGCGACCGTTCGTCCGCGGGATCGCGCACCGAAATGCAGACCGTGAAGGCGTGCACTGGACACGTTCGGCGCTCGTGGCCGACGGCGGCGGCGTCCATGTCGGAATCCGCGTCGTCGTCGTCCTCGTCGTCGTCGTCGTCGTCGTCGTCGTCGTCGTCGTCGTCGTCCTCGTCCTCGTCCTCGTCCTCGTCCTCGTCCTCGTCCTCGTCCTCGTCCTCGTCCTCGTCGTCTTCATCGTCGTCGCCTTCGTCCTCGGTCGAGGAGACGGGGGGCGATCACCTCCTGGATTGTAAATCCGCCGACGAGGAATGAGCAGGTTTCTTTTTCGTGTAAGGCCCCAGGAGCTGCAGCGCAGGAGCTCGCTAACAGGCAAGGCCCAGGCGACCAGAGACCCTTGGTAGACCCTTGCTCTTTCGTGGTCGTCTGCCGGGTGTTGAGAAGGCCCTCGTCCTCGTCCGCGCCGTCGCTCCCGAAGTTCGCTGGAGGCCTGGGCGGCGCGGCGGTGGTCGCGCTGCGGGCGCTCCAGAGGTGGAGCGCAGCCCGGGGGGGCCAGGCCTCGGGCCCGCGGTGCGTTGGAGGCGACGGCCCACCGCGCTCGAGAGCTCCGCGCGGAGGGCGGCGCCAGTGGCCTGGCCGGCACGGTCGAATGTGGAGACGTACACACTTCAGCTGTCCGGGGTTCTGAGGTGGCCCCCGGTGCTGCGTCCGGCCGACAGGACGGGCAGGCTTCGGGAAGACTTTTTGCCAATTTCGGCATGTCCGGGGGCCGTTGTCGGCCTCGGGACCGTCAAAAACGGATCCGGGGTGAAACACCGCACCAGATGGGATCCCAGGAGGGGTCGGAAGCCGTTTCTGGGGCCCCAATCAGTTCAGACCCTCCGGCCGCCTCCAACGTACGGAAAGAAGGGCGAGGAAGATCGACAGAAGTTCCTGTCCATTTTGAGCAGGAATCGCTGTTGTCGTCGCCCCGGACGTTGTCCATTGGAGGCAGTACGTCGCCTGCCCACAGCGACGGCTGTCGGTTTTGGACCACCTGTGCTGACTGGCGTTTTCACTCTTTCCGTTAGCATGTCGGGCCTGCCAGTCTGAGGACCTCTTGCAGCTGCAGAGCAGAGCGCTCGAGGTCGAGGCCTGAAGTCAGGGCCCGCCCAGACGTCCGGCGCACCCGGCAAGTCGACGAGGCGGTCGGCCTTTGCCTCTGGAGGCCAGTTTTGTGCCCCGTGGCCGTCCAACAACGATCCGGGTTGAAGAGCTGATCCTGGGGGGGGAGTGCAGGCCTCCAGGAGGGGCCCGCGCATCAAAAACCTCGGTGCGCCAGATGTGTGGGCACACATCGTCAAGGCAGGCGCCTGTAGTCAGGATGGGGGGACGAAGACTCGTCCTCCAGGAATCGTAGCGCTCCTCGGCCTCGCGAGAGGGCCCCTGTCGCGACGGCGCGGATCCGCTTCCAAGCCCCAGCCAGAACTCGAAGACCAAACCATGATACGTAGCACCCCGCAATTGCGGATACGAGTGAGGGGGCGGGCGCCGATTGCTGTTGTAGAGTCAACGTTGGCCGGATCGGGGGAATGGCACGAGGGCGCTTTCCCAAACCAATGCGAGCAAACCCGCCGCAGGCGCCGATTTGCGTGCTCTGACAAGTTCAGCGCGGGGGGGATCGCTGGTGGGCCACCCGGAACGAATGCAAAAACAGCCCGCCGCAGGCGCCGAATTATGGCTTGTTCAGTGAACGTAGTTTGGGTCGCGGGTGGGTCGCGGGCTCTCCACCTCCACCTGGACGGAATTCAAAAACAGCTTTTGATTTGTACACTGAACGCGGTTTGGGTCGCAGGTTCTCCACCTGGAACGAATGCAAAAGAAACCCGCCGCAGGCGCCGAAGTTTTGGCTTGTTCAGTGCACGTAGTTTGGGTCGCGGGTGGGTCGCGGGCTCTCCACCTCCACCTGGACGGAATTCAAAAACAGCCCGCCGCAGGCGCCGAAAATTTTGATTTGTAGACTGAACGCGGTTTGGGTCGCGGGTGGGTCGCGGGTTCTCCACCTGGAACGAATGCAAAAGAAACCCGCCGTAGGCGCCGAACATTTTGGGTGGGTCGCGGGTGGGTCGCGGGTGGGTCGCGGTGGGTCGCGGGTGGGTCGCGGGTGGGTCGCGGGTGGGTCGCTTGTGGGGTCGCGGGTGGTTCCCGGGGTGGGTCGCCAGTGGGTCGCTGGTGGGTCGCCGCTGCAAAAAAACTCGCCGCAAGCGCCGAAGTTTTGGCTTGTTCAGTGAACGTAGTTTGGGTCGCGGGTGGGTCGCGGGCTCTCCACCTCCACCTGGAAGGAATTCAAAAACAGCCCGCCGCAGGCGCCGAAAATTTTGATTTGTAGACTGAACGCGGTTTGGGTCGCGGGTGGGTCGCGGGCTCTCCACCTGGAACGAATGCAAAAGAAACCCGCCGCAGGCCCCGAAAATTTTGGGTGGGTCGCGGGGTGGGTCGCGGGTGGGTCTCGGGGTGGGTCGCGGGCGAGTCTCGGGGTTGGTCGCGGGTGGGTCGCGGGTGGGTCGCGGGTGGGTTGCGGGGTGGGTCGCGGGTGGGTCGCGGGGTGGGTCGCGGGTGGGTCGCGGGTGGGTCGCGGGTTGGGTCGCGGGTGGGTCGCGGGGCGGGTCGCGGGTGGGACGACGACAACAACAAACATCAAACAACAAAAAACAACAGGCAACAACAGACAGCAACAGACAACAACAAACAACAAGCAACAACAACAACAACAACAACAACAACAACAACAACAACAACAACAACAACAACAACACCACCAACAACAACAACAACAACAACACCAACAACAACAACAGCAACAACATCACCAACATCAACAACAACAACCACAACAACAACAATAATCCGCATCACGGAATTCCACTTCAGCCACGCACCCAGGGACAGTGAATGACCGCTCGGCTCAGCCCCCTCATTCTGATAAACATAAACTTTGAAAAAGGCCCGCGTGGATTTCTTGGATCGGCGCTGCAACCCCCCTCCCTGGCGAGCGGAGCGCGCCAGGGGCGCCGCCAAGGGACTCCAGCGCAGATCTGACAAATCCGCGCGGACGTCCGAAATCTTGTGTGCTTACGTGATCGTCTGTTCCTAGCACAGGAGCGTTCCCGGGGGGAGGCTCGGTGACGGCTGGAGGAGCGCGTGGAGGGCGGGGCGGGGACGGAGGGGGGAACGAGGCGGACGAGGCGCTCCTGCCCAGGGTTTTCCTCCTCCTCCTCCTCCTCCTCCTCCTCCTCCTCCTCCTCCTCCTCCTCCTCCTCCTCCTCCTCCTCCTCCTCCTCCTCCTCCTCCCCCCCCTTGCCCGCCTCCTCCTCATTCCCCCCCTCGCCCGCCTCCGCCTCCCCCTGGTTTTAGAGGCAGCCTACGTGGGTGTGTGCCCGTTGCCTGGCGGTGGCGTGCAAGGACAGCACCAAGGCTATCAAGACCAGGCTCGCCTGCCCAGGCCACGACAGTCCACTGTCATGTTCAGTTCAAGAGCCTAGGGGGCACAGGCTCTTAACAACATTCCTTTCTTCGCTGGTGAGGAGGCCTTCTACCTCGGATGTGCGAGGTACGGGGCCCACACTTCAAGAGATTTGCACTGTTTGGTTAGGAGTTGCCATGGAGGTTTCTCGTCGGATGTCCAGCAGCACCGCTGTAGCCGGATGTTGAAGGAGCAGCATCCACGGATTGAGAAGGGGGCGAGCATTGTTTTGGGCCCCCCTGAGTCCATAGAGTGGCTCCAGAGGGCAGGCCGCCAGCAGTGTAGCGCAGTGGAAGGCAGCAACAGCAGCAGCAGCGGGAGCAGGGGGTAGAGGCGGGGCCTCCCTCGTGCGAATGCGCGGCCGCCTGCCATCGCCCTTTGATGGGTAGAGCGAGGCAGAATCGGATTCTTCTTACTGGTCGTTAACCTCCTCCTCCTCCTCCTCCTCCTCCTCCTCCTCCTCCTCCTCCTCCTCCTCCTCCTCCTCCTCCTCCTCCTCCTCCTCCTCCTCCGCCTCCGCGCGCACCTTCAGCGCCGCACGCCCCTATAGCCGCGCGCCGTGGCCCGCGCCCGCCGCCGCGGCGGCCCAGACACCCTGCGGCCACGAGCTGCTCGAGGCAGGGGCCTCCCCGGCCTCCACGGGGCCCGTCGGATCCGGAGGCCTCCACGGGGCCCGAGAGAGTGGGAGTCCGAAGCGATCCTCGATCTTATGACACGTCGATTGGTGAAGTGTCCGTTTCCGGTTATCGAGAGGGCGCCGCGGCCGTCATTTTCAAGGCTTGCGCCCGCCAGGTTTGGGCCCGAGGTCGCTTTCACGACACCGCGCTTTACTAGAGGGGGCTCCGTCCATCCCCGAATATACCGTGGTCCGACTGCACCGCTGCTCCCCAGACCTCTCCCGGAGCGCGCTCGGGCCAGAGCTCCCAGGAGGCTCTCCGGCCGCGGCGACGGGTGCCCTCCGTGGGGCGAGCCGCGGACGATGGGCTCCGTGCGCCCTCCGCCGGCTCTCGGTGCCGACGGTCCGCGGCTCGTTCCAGAGGGTCCCCTTCGCCACGCGGGGCGGAGCGACGCGCTATCCGCTCGCAAGGCATCCAGCCTGTCGCCGGGGCCGCCGTGGCGACACGCTATCCAAAAGTTCCCGGCAGATGCATGGCGTGCATGCGTTACGAGTCCGCCAGCGTGCTGCTCCTTCGCTTGTGTCCGAAGGCCTGTTTTCTTCCTCCACTTGACACGCTGATGGACTCCCCACGGCGGCGTGTAATTGATATCTGTTTTCTTTCCCCCCCGACAGGAGGAGGGGGCGCGACGACAATCTACATATACGGCCAAGAACCTCGGAGACGATCCTGAGACCGACGTCTCGACAACAAAAAAATCAACACTGTGAAACATCACGACCGGAACCCTATAGACGCCACCTCTCCGAGCCGTCCGTCGAGCCAGATCGATATGTGACGGTCCCGGGGCCCGAAGCGGGGCGAAACCGCCGGGCTCAGAACAGGGAAGATCTCTCGAGTAGGGAGGACCTCTCGAGTAGGGATCGATTACAGAATGAATTTACCCCAAGCTTGATTCCCTCGTCGAGCCATACCTGGGATGTGTTCGCACATGTAGAAACATTATGCGCATGTCTCGGGGGGTCGGCGAACAGTTCAATTCTGGGGCATATCAATTCTGCAGTCGTCGGGTTGACCCAAAAGGGGATCCAGCGAAGGGGGTTGTGCAGTAGATTTGGTGCAATAGATTTGTAAGGTTGCAATACATGTGGGGCTGGCAATGCATTCCGGGGCGCAAATGCATCGCTGGCTTCTCGCTTGCATTACATCAGTTGCAATACAACGCGATAGAGTTCTCCGGCGCAACACATTTGCAATGCAGTGGCCCCAAATCTGTTGCACCGCCCCCCTTGCAGCGGGACCCCCTTCTGGGTCACCCCGAAGTCGGCCCCCTGCTCCCCTCTCTGGGCAGGACGTCGCCGTGGACGCCGCCCCTGCCGCGCGCGCCGCGCCGCCGCGCGCAGGGCTTCTCGGGGCAGACGGCGCTGCACCTGGCGGCGACGAACGGGCACGACGAGGCGGCCGAGCCAACGCGCGCCTGCTTCCCGCCTCGGGGCCGGGCCCTCTCGGGCCACCGGCCGGTGGCCCAGCCGGAGGGGCTCTCCGAGAGGCCTCCCATAATATCGGGGACGCGTAAGACTCGAGTACGCCGGAACTCGGGTTTGCCGACGTCTTTTGACGAGCGCGTCTTGTGGATTTTGACGGTCCAGTTTTCGTGGGGTGTCTGCAGCGGGAGCTCGCGTCAAATTTCAGATCGGGTCTCGTCATTTTTTTGATGGCCCCGTCAGGCCAACCCGAGTCCCCCGTACCCGAGTCTTACGTCTCCCCGATCCTACGTGGGGTCGGAGTGGACGGGGTCGAAGGATCCCGCCGCATCGCCGATGCATCGGCGATGCATCGTCGACGTGGGCGGTGCATCGGCAACGTCGACGTGAAGCAGATCAGGCTCCACATCGAGCGGCGTCGGCGATGCATCTGCGATGCGGCGTGATCCTCCGACCCCATCTACTCCGACCCCATCTAAGAGGCCGGGGATCCCCAAACCCATCGACTAGACGTAAGAGTGACCTTTCGCCGGAGTGACCTGAGGTGCGGGCCCACTCGTGTCCCCCGATCGCCGAGCGCGGTGCGATAGTAGCGTCTTGCGCGGTTGTGTGTTGGTCCCCTCGCGGTCCCCCAAAGCCGCGCACCAAAGGTCACTCTTAGCCAGGGTCACTCCTGCGTGTAGCCGAGGGATCCCCAAGACCCAGAGCTCCGCGAGTCATAACAAACATCACGATGCAAGGCTTTTCGCTATTTGCGGCTGGTGTGGCCCTTACCGACGACGCAGAGGGAGACCCAGACAACAATGGACACAATCCGTGTACAAGCTGGGTCATGTGAGTGCATGAAGCATTTTCTGTCCACCCTCTCCCCTCCTCCCTCTCCCCCCTCCCTGGACTTGATGCGCCGGACGCGGCTCTCGCAACTTTTCAACCGCGCTCTCTGCACGCGCGTCCTTCACGGATGCACGGCTTTTGCATCGTATCGTATCGGCGGCCCTTACCGGGCCTCGGGCCCGTCAAAAAATGACTCGGGATGAAAAGCCGGTCCCGGGCCAGGGGTCGAGCCCTCTGGGATCGACGTCTTGTAAAAAATCATAACGTCGGGGGTCCGGGCACAGCGCGGTGGCCACATCGTGTTGCGAGTCCGTGGGGGTTCGGGGTGACCGCAGTGGTTTGGGGCTTGGGTCGCTCTCCGAGGGTGTCTCGGTCGGGTTAATGTAAGGCTCGAGTACGCCGGAACTCGGGTTTGCCGACGCTTTTTGACGAGCGCGTCCTGGATTATGACGGTCCAGCTTTCGTGGGATGTCTGCAGCGGGAGTTCGCGTCAAATTTCAGGTTGGGTCTCGTCATTTTTTTAATGGCCCCGTTATGTTCTGCCAGACAAGGAATCGCTTAGCAATCCACCACACAAGGAGTCCCTTATTATTCCGCCACAGAAGGAATCCCCTGAACCGAGTTACACGTCGCCCTGACTCGGCGACTGTGGACTCCAGGGTCCCAAGACCGTGCCGTGGCGGACCGTGCGGTGAGGTCTTTGACGATTTCGAGGGCACCGCACGGTCTGTCACCGCACGGTCTTCGGACCCCCAAGCCTCAGCATTCTTAGCACGGGAAGAAGGGTGACGAGGACAGGCGGCAGGTATTGCCCGTGTGGAGCAGGGACCGCTGCCAGTGGCGACGCGCAAGTGGCCCACTTGAGACAAAACGTAGCCTGCCCAACAGCGGCCGCTGTATCATGCGCGTTTTTTCACCGTTTCCGAAAAAGTGCCTCAAAGAAGAACAAACATTGCGATTGGGCACGGCAAAACAAATGCAAGACGAACCCGTAACAAAAACGCCCCGTCGTTTCAAGGGCCCTAAGGCTGAGCCCCTTCGTGGAACACTTCCCGCCGACGATGGCGCAGTGCCGTTCGTTCCGACGCGCGGCCCTACGTCTTGCGGAGGGTGCCGCGGCCACCAGGGCAAACGCGGTCCCTCCGACGCGCTGGATGCGCCGTGGGTTTGCCGCGACGTGGGCGTCGTCTACCTGGGCGCGGGGCGCAGGGCTTGCCTTTGGTTTGCTGTGGTGTTGGCGTCGTCCACTTGGGCGCGTCGAGAACAAGCGGCGCGGCGACATGTGATATGCTTCCCGTGTCCATCTCGGGCGTGCCACTCAGGGTTCTTTGTCAGTGCGGGGGGGGTACCACAGCCTCGAGGAGGTGGGCCCCTCGGGGTCCCGCACCCCCCCCCGCCCCCAAAGAGCCCACGAGACCGCACAAAAACATCCCACGCACCTCATCGATCATCCGGGCAGATCCCAGGGTCATTGTGCTGGTGCCCCGTTTGCCTTTCCCAGGCCTGCTAGGTTCTCTGCATGAGCGTGCCTATTGCAGGTCGGCTGTGTGGTGTTCTGGGCTTGCCTGTCGACTACGTAGCTCGCACTGTGGTTTCACTGTTTCACATGGCCGAGGTGTCGGGCTCTACTGGCTGCGCTCCCTCCTCCTCCTCCTCCTCCTCCTCCTCCTCCTCTTTTCCTCCTCCTCCTCCTCGTCCTCCTCCCCTTCTCCTCCTACTACTCCACCTCCTCCTCATTCTCCTCCTCATCATCATCATCCTCATCCTCCCCCCAAAAGAATTCATCGATCATCGAACCTCGATCCTCAGGGGGAGGTGGCGACACCCCTGGCGGTGACCCCCTTGGCATTGCCAGGCATTCGAGGCTCGAGCGGCCGAGACTTTCGTCAGAATTTCCCCGCGAAGGTTCTCGAGGAGAAGGTCTTGATTCTCCAACGGCCAACAGCACGCGCGGGCTCCAGGCCCCCGAACCCTCGATACCCGCCCTCTTCGCCTTTGACTGTGCCACCCTGGGGGTTTATCCGCCTTACCTGCCACGTGCGCGTGGCGCAGCACCTAAAACAGGGGAGGAGATAGGGGGCGAGGACAGGAGGGAGGGAGAAGGATGGAACACGAGACAGTTTTGCAGGACTGGGGTTCGGAGTTGACAAGAAGTGGCAGAACCAGACGGGCCGGTCGGTCGGTCGGACCCTAACGGGTGGGTCGGGCGGGTGGGGCCCAGGCGTCCAGATTGAGCGGGCGGGTCGCTGAAGCATCAGTCTTGCATGAGCCGCAAGGAGGTCTCGAGCGATAGCGCGATGCCCAAGAACATCGTCAGGGAGTCCACAGCGAGAGCATGATTCCTGAGTGTCGCGGGCGCGTTGTATGCGTAAATCGGAAGGCAGCCCCACGCGAGAGCGCGGTTCCGGTTTGAAAATTGTGAGGCAGACCCGCGCCACAGCGCGATTTGGAGTGACATGCGAGGAAGTATCAGGTGGGAGCCTTTGTTGTGGTAGTTCGAGGGCCAGCAGCCCAATTTGAGGCTCAAGACTTGACCTGATTCCAAAACAGGGCGCGAGCCCATGGAGGAGTATTTCAATTGCAAAACACAATAGGCACTGGATGGGGAATTTGCACTACTCATGTCGTTGAAATGAAATTCACCAACAACAGCATCAACAAATTTAAGACTGGTCGCTCTCATGTGCCCGCGTGTTAGCCAACATGTATCTCCCAAACCTTCGATACCAGCCTTCTTTGTCTTTGACCGTGCCCCTTTGGGGGGATGTGTTTGTTCCTGCCACGTGTGATTTGGCGCAGCCCCCCAGAACAGAAAGGACAGAATGGATGGTAAAGGGAGAACCAAGAAAAAGGTAGTAGGGCAAAGGGAGGGATGAGGGAAGGGGGCAATAAGGACGGAGAGATGGAGGACGAAAGGGATCAGCAAGAGGACTTAGTAAGAGGGGATGGCAAGGAAGTCTCAGCCGAGAACGCGGTTCCTGAGATAATGTTGAGGAATTCCAGAGCGAGGACGCGGTTCCAGGGTGCCGAGAGCGATTCGTGAACAGATTGTAGGGGAGTCTCCAGCGAGAGCGCTCGATTCCAGGATACATTCCATGGAAGTCTCGGACAGGACCGCGATTCTCCAATACCTTGTGAGTGGTCGGCGGGAGTCATTGTTGTAGTTCGGGGGCCAGGGGGCCAATCTGAGGCGCAAGCCTTTCTTTTGGAAACAACAAAGTGCAAGCCCCAGGATGGGTATTTCAATTGGAAAACAAAGCTGCCTCCGAGGGCGGTATCAACAATGGTTGCCTTTTAGACATGAGAGCCTTACAAACAACACGGAATCCCGTTTCAGCCACGCACCAAGGGACAACGAATGACCATTCGGTACCCCTCACTCTGATGGAGAAACTCGTGAGCTGCACTTACCTCGCATACGGGATTCCCCACTGACCATTCTCATCTTTTCGTCTGGCAGGCCGCAACAGGGAAACATTTACTGCCTTAGTGGCCTGACCATCTAACCGAAAAGCGGGAATATCTTGGGGTACCCAAGCGTGGCATGTTGAGAACATTGTATCGATGTGCAGTGAGGGCAGACGGTGGACAAAAACAAGCAAAACACATGCCAGTGCAAGCAGTACTTGCGGGAATCTGTCAGGTTGACCTGAAGTTCAAGCGTTGAACCTTCGCAGCCTCACTCGGCACACAATGTTTCTCAACCTGCAAGTTCCCTGGTTCCTTAATTCCCAGAGACGGAAATTTCACCGATGCGTTGCGACATTCGTTTGGAGGAGCTACGGCGTTCCACGCGAATTGTCCAGGGGCACCGTGGGGGCTTCCAACACTCTTTGCTGCACGTGCGAGCGGATTTCCTCTGCCGCGCGGCGACGGAAACAGTCTGGACGCTGGGGCGCATGGGCTAGAACCGGCGCAGACTCATGCACAGACACGATCGGCAGTCGCCGAAAGTTTGGGGAGCATTTCGCCCTTGGGTCGCGTTTATCGGACCCTCAGGTGCCGTGCTGTCATGCGTGTGGGGATGAAAAAGAATCGGCGCAGACTCGCATCGGCAGTCGTGGGCAGCAAACGTGCAGCCGACCAATGGGCACTGTCACCCAACGGTGCCCCGCGTTTCGACGGGAGCGGCCAACGCCGAAGCACCCGCGCCGTGCTTCTCACATCGCTGGCCAGCGTGATCATCCGTGTGAGCGGATGGCGATGGGGGGATCAGGACATGGGGGGATGAGTATCCTTGACCGTTTTGTTGGGGTACAATGTGTACCTTCTCTGCAGGTTGCAAGTACAAATTGTACCTTCTCCCCCCCGTTAACTTCCTCGCACATGTCGCGGACGTTGTCAAAAATACAATTTGTACCTTGTCTGCGTGGCGTCGGTAACAATTGTACCTTCTCCGTGGGACGTAGGTACAATCTGTACCTCGGTTGCGCCTCTCTCCCCATCTGGACTTATCCCCCCATTTGCTTCCCGCCAAAGAGGGCGGATGCTACGGGTTGTTCCATTCGGGCCTGAACCCGCATGTGCGTCAGGGGCTTCAGTTGGTGGTGCCTGGCAGCCTGCTTCATTGTCAGATGGGGCGCTCCAGAAAGGGCTTCGCCTTAGAGGGTCGAAAGAGTTGACACCTCTTCCTCGGCGGAAGGCCGGTGGAACGCTGCAGAAGTAAAACAGGAGCGGTTTCGCGGGCGGACGCGGGCGGAAGTTCGGTGGAAGGCCGCGGAAGCAGAGTCAGCCCATCCTAAGGGATGGGATGTCTTTTGGTTCAAGGGCTTCTGGAACCAGCCGTGGGTTGCAAGGCAGTTCTCCCCTTCCTCCGTTTGTCTTCTTTTCGTACGCTCTGCGGCAGTTGTGGTTCCAGGCCCAGCGCTTGCGCACCATATTATCCTGCTACACCAGCTTGCTACACTCACTTTTCATTGTACCTTGGCCAGCATGGGGCGCAGCGGTGCGATGCTGCCCGTGGCACTGGCTGCGCTGAGCGGCTCCGTGCTCCCGCGGTGCTTCGCGCTGCAGAAGCTAGGAGCCGACACGGAGCGGAATGCGGAGAGCAGCTCGCTCGAAAGCCTTGAGCGAGGGGAGGCGGCGCAGATGATAAAGTCGCCTCACGCACCACCAAAAGCAAAGTTGCTGTCCTGGTGGACGGAAGGGTCCAGGTCTTACCAGTTTGAAACATATCCTTATCCCTGTGTTTGGCATCACCTCACCTCGATGCCGATCTGAAGGATTCCTTCAGCTTCTGCGAGTACTTGCCTAAACTTGTCCTCGCTTTTTGCTCGCCCATCTCAGGGATAGGGATAAGTTCGAGGCTGGTTAAGGTCCGAGTGGCTGAGCCTATCCATTTGCGCTGCCGCGCGATTCCGCCACCGCGCTCGGACGGGCGCGGGGGAGGGCTTTGGGGCGGGGATGGTGGGAGGGGCCGCGGAAACCCCCTTCCCCAGGATGTCTGCCTGGGATGCCGAAAATGCATGGCGTTGGTCGCAATGATGAACGCATCTTGGGCTCGATTCGCCGGTGGGGCTAATTCTTGTTTCGCAAAAAGCGAAAGGGCCCGACGCACTCCAACCGCTACAAGCGCGGTGGCGGTTACGACATCCAGTTGGGAAAGGACGCGACAGCTATTGTCACACACGCTGGGAAGAACAATCAGGAATACATTGACCATGCCGTGATGCTTGGGGTCTCGCTGAAGCGCCACATGCCCGATTACCCCAGGATTGTTCTGGGGGTCAAGGGGATGACCGACGCTAACCAGGCGGTTCTGCAGGAGGCAGGGTGGCACGTCGTTCTGGTTGCAGACTGGAGGTTCCCTGATGTTCTCTGCAGCGCAGGCAACACATCTTGTATCGACTACTCATTCATATTGCAGCAGCAGGATTCGATGGAAAGGCTCAATGTTTTCAGGCTGCCAATCGGCCGTGTTCTTTACATGGATGCAGACACGTATGTAGCGAGTGGCGAGTTGAATTCTTTGTTGAATGGGACCGTCAAAGACCCCGTCCCAGAGGGGAACATCGGTATGGTCCCGAATGCGTGCAACAGACTGAAAGTGCATGGTGTCACCGCTCCTTACAGCGCTGGCGTCATGCTGTTCAAGCCGAGTCTCGAGAAGTACCAGAGCATGCTCGTCAAAGTTGCGGAGGTCATGGTTGGCAATGCGACGGAGATGAACGACGAACAGATCATTAATGACGTTTGGGAGAAGCAGGCAACAGCGCTGGACAAGAAATACAACTGCATGGACCCGTGGGACTTGCAGAAGGCGGACAAGTGCCAGACGCGATGCACTGAAGTGGTGGTGTCCCACTTCTTCGGCGGTCCGAAGCCGGCCATAGCGGACGAGAAGTTCTTAAGCTTTGTCCGCAAGCCTTCCGGTCCGTTCGAGCAATGTTCCGCAATGAACCACGGTTCGTGCAACGCCTGGCAGAATTTCTATTGTGACCTCGTGGATAATTTGGCGATGTTGACGAGGCCCCTGCAGCAAAGCATAAAACGCTTGGGTAGTTGTTGCCATGCGCCAGCACTCGAAAGTGACCCTTCTGATTGCCACTCGGAACAGGAAGATTGCGCTGAAACGGTAAGTTTCAACAACATTTACAAGCTGAATCGCAGTGTGAACCTGGAGAAGCAAGCCCCATGGTTCGGAAACTATACTAAGGTCACTAAAGTGGTCAAGGGTAACAGCACTTTTGTTCCGGATCCATTATTCCATGGAGGGCGGCCCATATATGCTGGCCCCAACGGGTATCATTTGTTCTACGCGTTGGAGTCGAAATATTGGATGGTTGGAAAGAACGTTGCGGCGGCGCGTGCGAGAAGCGGCAAAGAGTTGGTTGGGAATTGGTTGCCAGAGTCCTATGCGTACGACTATCATATGCATACAAGGTGCCCCGAGTACACCAACAATTGGAAGACCGTCAGGGCAGGCTTCGAATATTTGAGCTCGAAGGACAGCACGATCCTTGTGACCAATCCCAACGCCGAGGTCGTTGCTCTTGGTGAGTTCTGTTCGACGGCGACGGGAGTGCCCCATTTCCATTTCCCCCCGCCCAAGCCCACACATCTTCTCGTGGAATGGACCGCTGCGGATTTGAAGCATTCCCTTTCTCGAGTGGGCGGCCTTCACGAATGTTCAAAATTGCCGGGTGTGTTTGTTTGAAGGGGGCATTTGAAATTATAGGCAATCGCTCCCAGGTCGAAAGTTGGGGGTCAGCGGCCTTGTACAAGAAACACAAGAAGTACGAGATCTTGGAGCGCAAGCACAGGAGGGCCAGGATGCGCAGGATGGCCCAGATGGAGGCGAGCCGGACTGGGGTAGACGATCTGTCTGACATCCTTGCCTTGGTCCCCCCCTCCCTCTCCTCCCCCTCCGCCTAACAGCGTCGCAATCTCAAAAATCTCCCCCTCCGCCCCATCCGCCCATGAACTCGCCTCTTCCTCCCCCCCCATCCCCCTCTGGCCTGCAGGTCTGGGTCCTTCCCTGTGCTGTGTCAGCTTCGGCTCTGGCTGCGAGTGCACCTTTGACGTTCACCCTTGTCGGCGTGCCGCTTGCAGGGGGGCCGCCCTCCCTCCCCTCCCGTCCTTCTCCTCTCTTCCTCCTCCCCCGTCGGCAGCAGCTCCACTCGGCCAGAAAAACCTGGCCAGGCCAAACTCGGCCAGGCTGACTTCAGCCCGCGCCGAGTTCGGCCTGGCCGAGTTCAGCTGGCCGAGTTCAGCCTGGCCGGATTCAGCATGGCCGAGTCTTTCCCTTGTCCATCTCCTGCGTCTCCTTCCCAGGATAGCGCCAGCACCACAGACGAGACGCCATCCCAGACCACCATCACTAGCGACGACACGGTCCCCACCACCGCAGGCGAGGCCCCAGAGTCTCCCTTGGAGCTGAAGGCGCCCACTGAGACGAAGCTTGACCCGAGTGAGGAGCACCTCCAGAAGTAGAGCCTCCGGGACCAGCCCTCCCGCCAGGGCCGGGATGCTTCTTGATTATGTTGGAGGTGATGTTCGACGCGCAGTCTGCGGCAGGAGTACGGGTGAGCGAGGACTTCGAGCGCGGCGGACATTTGTCAGATTATTCCCCAAACAGAGGGTTTCTCATTTCTGCTCTAAGGAACTGGGCCTGTCTGCCGCTCTGGCGGCCATGTTGCCGCCGTCGCCGCCCCGTCGCCGCCTTGTCGCTGCCCGTCGTCTGGGCCTGCCTGCCGCTCTGGTGGCAATGTTGCGCCGTCGCCAATCCGTCGCCACCTCGTCGCCGCCCGTCGTCTGGGCCTGCCTGCCGCTCTGGCGGCTATGTTGCCGCCCCGTCGCCGCCTTTGCGCTGCCCGGATTGCATAACTTATATTCCATAACATCGACTGCGCCGAATATATTGCACCACGTAGATCGCACAGCATATATTGCACCGGCGCCGTCACTGGCCGTGCCGTCGTTGCTGTCAGCATCGTCACCAGCATCGCTACTATCATCATCTACCCTTGTCGACGTTGCCATGATACCGCGCCCAAACAAGTCGCCGACTCGCATTAAAGTGCCCGCTGGGATGTGCCGAGCGGTCAGCGCCACCGCTTTCGCGTCGGTCGCGCCAAACTAGCTGGCCGCTGCGCGCGCGAGGATGCGCGGGCTAGCGCGGCTGCAGAGATGCACCAGCCAACACCAAGCACTCATCGCAATCGCTTCCGCATGGGTTTTGCGAACCAAATTACGGGTGGGTGGGTCGGATGAGTGCGCGAGCATTGGAGTCGACAACGTAAAGTTCGGCAAGGTGGATTGCTTTACATAGCTTCCACCACGTAGGTTGCTCCAAATAGATTTTCCTTTCTACAAAGAGAATAGATTCTACCCCCCCCCGGCGTCATCCGTACCCCTTTCGGGTATGTAAATCATTTACGATTGTGACCACATTTCCGTCCGAAATATGAATTTCCACTATCCCCAGGGGGCCGGTATCGACCCCCCTGAGGTTCCCTGGTAAAAAACAATTCGCGGAGACATGGTTTGCTCTAACATAAGACTTTTTCGCGAATCCCTTGCACAAAAACTGGACGAAGTGCTCACGCGCGCGCGTCGTCGCGCGCGCGTGCCGAAATCCTTGAAAAAAACCTTCGGTGTCGGAAGGATTTCGCAATCGAGTTTCCAAACAAACATACAGAAACACAGGGATTCGCAGCACTGATCTGCGAAAAAGCTTGCGCGCGAGCTCGTGCGACATCTTAAGAAAGCCACAGGTTTTTCTCACGATCTTCACAAAATTCTATCACACGGGCTTCGCCCGCGCGCATGTCGAAATCAGTCGAACGCCCTTGCGTGTGTGCCGTCGCGAGAATCCTCGGCAAAACATGGGACGAAGTGCAGACGCGCGCGTCGTCGTGCGCGTATGCCGAAATCCGTCAAAACTCATCGGTTTCGGAAGGATTTCAAAATCGTGTGTCCAAAAACCTACAAAAACACAAGGTTTCGCAACACGATTTTTCAACAAAAACGTGCGCGCGCGCTCTTGCGTCGTCGTCGTCGTCGTCGTCGTCCTCGTCGCCGTCCTCCCTCCTCCCGCGTCGTCGTCGTCATCGTCGTCGTCGCCTACGTCGTCCTCTGTCTTTCCTCGTGTTCGTCGTCGTCGTCCTCTTTGGCGTCGTGGTCGTTTCCGTCGTCGTTGTCGCCGTGGTCGTCCTTCCTCCTCCTCCCTCGTCGTCGTCGTCGTCCGTCGTCGGCGTCTCGTCGTCGTCCCTCCTATTTCGTCGCCGTCGTCGTCGTCGTCGTCGTCGTTGTCGTCGTCGTCGTCGTCTTCCCTCCTCCCTCGTCGTTGTCGAGTAGTGCATGTAATGCAGTAAGGAACAAAGGAGCCGGCCGATGGCATTGCTATCGTGGCCATTTGGGCTCTAGGTTCGATTTCACGTGACTTTCACGGTCTTCCGATACCGAATCCTCTTGTCTTGTATTTTGCAATTCCTTCACGTTTCATTTGCATCCCTTGCCGGCTCCTTCAAACAGGTTTGGGGGCACATGGCTTGGTTTGAGCAGGAGCCTTCTGCGGGGGTGCAGCCTGCGGCCCCCGCCACGCCGACCCCCAAGGCACGTGCTCGGGCCGCCCCAGGCTTATAAACCAGAGCCTCAGGGTCGCCGCCGTGGCATCCACCTCGGGGGCAGACGAGACTGTGCTAGAGTCGTACGTCGAGCACTTGGGGGGGTCATACGACACAATTTCGGTGAACGACTTGCTGGGCGTGCGCGTCACCGACCTCAAGTCCGCGTTGGACGCGTGCGAGGTGTCTGGTGCGCCGCTCACGGCATTGCAGAAGGGGGCGCTTGCGCGTTTCCTGTGTCGCGTGGCGGATGTTGCCGGCGTGCCGCCGCCCGATTTCGGCACCCTCGGCGGGCCGCCTGCGGGCATTAGTGCACCGACCGCAGGTGGTGGACATAGCGGGGGTGGCGGCGGCGGCGGAGGAGGTGGCGGCGGCGGCGGCGGCGGCCCTGCCCCTTCCGCAGCGCCTTCTGGGAGGCCATCTCGAAAACGTCAGTTTTCGGCCTTCATCGACCAAGCGGACGATGGCGAGTTCGAGCTGCTCCCAGAGCAGACCTTGCGTTCATTTTTGGACGAGTACAAGAAGGCGCACGGGGGGCCTCCCCGTGAGCACGAGGAGGCCACGAATGACGTCGCCCCCTACGCGGACGTGGCGGTGCGGGGGCCCTTCGGGAGGCGGCGGCAGAAGGTCATGCGCTTTACCGCGCAGGTATTCGTGGGCGGCGAGCCCGTCACGCGTCAGCTCAAGGGCCCTTCCTCGTTCGAGCAGTGGCGGGCCTGCTGGCGGGTGTTTCGCACCGCCATGGTGACCCTGAAGGCCTGCTTGCCAGGGCCCCTGGACGAGTACGAGGAGGGAATGCGGATCCTCAGCGCCACATTCCCGCAGCACTGGGGGATCATCTCCCAGGCCGACGACGAGATGCGCTCCGAGAAATGGGAGCGCAACAGGCGCCGCATTGAGGCGCAGGTGGAGTGCGGGGCGTACCCCGGCACATTCATCCCCGAGCGCCCGTGGGAGGCGGTGATCCGGGACAGTGCGAAATCGGACACCGGTACCGTGGCTGGCTGGCGGTACGAGCGCGTCGACAAGCTTGCCTTGATGGCGCCCCGCGGGGTCGCGCAGGCAGCGTCGGCCCAGCCGCAGCCGCGCGCCGAGACGGCCACCCGGGCCCCCTCGGCGCCAGCCCAGCCTGCCAAGCCGAAGGCGAAGCCCAAGAAGGGTTTGGCAGCCCTGGGCGGGCAGCGGAAGGATGGCCGCTACCTCCGGTCCACAGACGGCAAGGAGCTGTGCTTCTCGTGGAACCGGCAGTCCGCAGGGTGCGTCTCCGGACCGTGCCCGAACAAGCGGAGCCACTCTTGCGAGTGGTGTTTGGGCCCGCACCGCGCCATCCACGACGCGTGCAAGGCGGCGGCGAGGCCTGCGAACTGGAGGCCCCAGTGAGCACGCGCACCGCCTGACGCTGATGGATTGCGGAAAGGGGGTCGGCGCGCGTCGCCGCCAGCACGGGCGCGCGAGCCCCCCCCCGCAGTTTGCGGGATTACGGGTGGCCCAAAGGCCCTTCTTGCGCACCCGCTTTCGCTGGCCGTGGCACGCGAGGCTCCTCCTGCATTGTGCGGGATTACAGGTGCTCCTCTCGCCGCTGTGGCATTACCGGCGCGCCCTGATGCTTCGGGGCGGAAGCGGAAGCTTTCTGTACTTTCGGCATCTTTGGCACGCCTTGCAGCTTCGCTGACGAGGCACCGCTCCCGCCTTAGAGCCAGGGCGAGCTCGAGTACGAGGCCGTCATCTTCTCCACCTTCATCATCCTTCTCGTCATCATTCCCCGTGCCTCCTCCGCTTACATGCTCATCCCCTGCTGCCCCGTCTTCTACGTCGACGAACCCATCGTCATCTGCCCTGGCTGCGGCGGCTTCGGGGGGGCGCAGGGCGGCTGGGCAGGGGGCGGCGTTGGGGGAGCTGGAGAGGAGGCAGAGGTTCTTTTTCTTTGACGCTACTTGCGCTGGCGCACTGGCGCGGAAGGCAGAGGCGCTCGGCCTGCCAGCCCGCCACTGGGGCTCGCCGTCTACGAGTCGCAGCCCCGACTTTTCGGAGGAAGCTGGCGGAGAGAGCATCCTCGCGGAGTGCGCGGGGTTGAGAGCGCAAGGGTGGACAGTCGTCGTCCGTCTTGCCCCTCCGCCGACCACATTCGGCAGGGCTCAAGATCGAGCGCAGCGCACCAGAACCCGCTCGGCCAAGTATCCAGCGGGCATTCCTCCCGCTGGGGCCCGGGTTCTCGCGGCCGACCACGCCGCCGAGAGGGTGGCGTCGGTGGCCCGGGCGCTCGCCGACGCCGGAGCCGTCGTCAGCATCGAGGGCCCCGACAGGTCGCACTTGTGGATGTTGGATTGCTTTGAGTCCCTACTCGAAGATGGCTGGGTGGACGTCCGCGTGTCGCAGTGCCGTTTCGGCGCCGACTTCGACCGTCCAGTGAGGCTGCGGTGTCGCGGCCAGCGCCCTCACGCGCTGGAAGGATTGCGCGGCCTCACCGGCGACGGCGCCACCTACCTCTGCGGAAGGGGGGCCCGCGCCCGCATCGAGGAAACATCGCCTCTACTTCCGACGACCCTGGGGAACTCCACGACGGAGTCATTGAAGCTTGGGTGCGCGAGTGCATGACTTGGGATGCAGGGAGGCTGGCCGTGTCAGAGTTTACCGTTGGTCTGGCCGGTTTGCCCGCTGTTGCATCTACGGCCCGTGAGCTCCAGGAGGTCACGTGGAGGGTGCAGGAAGCCATCGTCGAGGCCCGCAGTTCGACGCCGTCGCTCCAACGCTTGACGGATTGCTGCGGTCATCCATCCGTCTGCGCGCCACCCAGCCCGGAAACGGTGTCTGCGCTGCGCGGGGCCGTCGGGCGGGCGCTTGGACTTCCCAGGGGGGAGGTGGAGC